AGGGCACTGTCCAGGTGGGGACAGCGTAGACCCTTGTGCATCTGTGGGTAGCACCAGCCAGGCAAAGCCTCCTGTGGTCAGACTCACTGGTTCAGCACAGCCTGGCTGTCCCTGGCAGCCCGTGCTCAGCCCTACAGCAGTGCAGTGGAGTGAGCTGTCCGTGGCCAGGGTGGAGCAGAGAGGGCCCAGGTGCCAACCCACGGCGGGGGAAGGAAGCTGTTTTCCGCCCCTACCTGTCCTCAGCCCCAGGCTGGGCCCACACTTGGCCCAGAATGAAGTTTTCCATTGATGGCTATGGTCCAGACTCACCTGAGCTGGTTTCCCATCACCTGAGTGAGGTGGCCTAGGCACGCCCTTCCCTGGCAAGGCGTGGACCATTCCTGCAGCTCCCTCCCACTCCCTTGTTGGCTGTTGGAGCCACACTGAGCTGCTGGGCCTGTGAATGCTTGGCTGGGACTGGGTGTTTCTCCTCCTTTTTCTCCTGTTGTTGTCACAACCACCCTCAGAAGGGGTGGTGTTCTTACCTCCTCACTGTTAGGAAAACTGAGGCCCAGAGAGGGTAACTCACTTGCCCAAGGTGGGACAGGAGGTGAACTGTCCAGCCCCAGGCTATCCTGGAGCCTTAATTATTTGCTGGGGCTGCACCCACTTTTCTCCTCTAACAGCACAGGAAATGAAAACCCTGTGAGTCAGCCCCTCTGCCAGTGGCTTCAGCTCTGGTTTCCGCTTCGTAGGCCCCTTTCCTGGATCTGAGGGTCATTTTGAACTGATGGGGGAGGGGAGTCACAGGCCCTGATGCTGGGCCTGGGTGGGTGGGTGGGTGGGGACTGGCCTTGAAGCCGCCCCCTCCCCCCAGCGGCCACTGAGACTTCTCGTCCATCACGTGGTTCCAGCGGTGGCTCCTCAGGAATGCAGACAGACCACATCTGGCTGGGGCTGTGCAGCCACCTCCCCCTCCTGGCCACCACTCTCCCATGTGTGCCTGTTCCATAAAGATGAAGGCCAGGCCCTAGTTCTCAGCTCAGCGATGTCACTTTGTGAAGTCATTTCCTTTCCCTGCACTCATTGTCCTGAAGCCCCTGCCTCCCCTTCCTGGCCCTGCAGGGCCAAGGGCAGTGGGAGAAGGAGGCTTGTCTTCCTCCCGCCCTGCTTCCTGCCCAGGACAGCCCTTTCCCAGCCTGGCCTTTCTCTCCTGGGACACAGCCAGCTCAGACTGTGCTGAGAACTTGGCCCCCCAGGCCCCAGGGTGGGAAGTGAAGATAAGGTGATGGATGGGTGAGGGGTTCTGGCTGGGGGAAGGGAGTGACTGGGGGCGGGTGGAAGAGGGGGCAGAGAAGTGAGTTCTGTATGGATTCATTCATTCATTTGTTCATTCATTCATTCAACAGGTCCAATAAATGTCCTACTCCTTATGAAGTGCTCAGTGGGCTGTAAAATACATCATGGACTGGTGGACATAACCAGTTCTCTGCACAGGTCATGGGGCTGGACCTTAGCTTTAGCCTCAGCTCCTCCTCTGCACCCCTTTTCCCACCAAAACCAGGGATCTCACTCCTCTCCATCCCTCCCTGCCCATCTTGCCAGGGCCCAGCATGTCCTGGGGTAGGTGCCAGCAGCCCCTGGCATGGGGAAGAAGATGGAGGTGGAACCTCCCTGTGGAACCTGTCACTGTCCCTGTCATCACTGTGCTGGCTGTTTTCAGTGAAAGACATGTGCCATGGTACATGATAGCCAGACTGTCTAGGTAGACCAGATTAGGGCCAGGTGCCTCAAGCCTGTGCTGTTCCAGGAGGAAAAACAATTGAAGTGGATCAGGCTTGGGGAGATGACATTTGAGACAAGCCTGGGAAAAGGGATAGGATTTCAGGAGGCAGAGGAGGAGGGAGGGAGAGGAGAAATGGTTACCTCTGTTTTCTCCCCTGAGAAATGGAGAGCATCCATCCTTCGAGGGGATAAAAGATGTTTTATATATGCACAGACGATTGGGATCATTGAACGGCTCCTCCCTTGGCCACTGCTTGAGAGCCGAAGGTGGAAGGATTAAGCAGTTAGGTCACTCACCCTCCTGCCCCCAAGATAGTCTCTCTAAGGTCACCGTAGCCTGCCTTCTCCAGCTGTAATCACAGCAGCCCTTTCTGCCTTGGAGAGCCCAGACGTTGGACTTGGTCAGACTTGGGTTTGATTCCAGGCTCTACTATTTCCTAGCAGGACTGACTTTGGGCAAGTCTTGGGCACAGCTGTGGGCTGGGACTGGGAGTAAGGAGGACAGAGGAAACCTTAGCCACCCACCAAGCCCCTGACTCTACAAATGCGTTCTCTCTTGGTGATACACTGAGCCTTCCTGTAGCTGGTCCTCTTGCCTGAGGAGCTGGTCACCCTTCCTGGGGGCAGACCCAGAGCAGGGAAGAGATGGTGTCTGGGGAGTGGGTGCTGAGATCTCAGAGCCAACAACTCGGTTGACCAGTTTTTGGTAAAGCCGATCCTCTCTGGCTCTGGGCTGAATTGTGGTTAGTGCAGAGTGTCTGGGTCATCCTAAGAGACATATTGCCTGACTAGCCCTTTACCCCAGGCAGACTGGCAGCTGAAGGAATAGATTTTCTGCACTGTCAACACTAGAGCTGGCTAAGCCAGGTTTCGGCTCAGTGTGCAGCCAGCTGCGTCCACAGACAGGGTCTGTCTTCCATCTCCTGGGGAGCTGGGTGTGTGTGTGTGGGTGGGTAGGGTCAGTCACCAGCTGCCCACTCAGCCAGGCTTTGGAAATAAAAGGCCATGAGGTCATTTGTGCACACTCATTCTTGGGGTACAACATGGGAAACATGGTGGTGGGGTGCAGGAAGTGGGAGGGAAGGGGTGGGAATGGGAAAGGTGAAGGCACTGAATTGTGTTGGTCCCTGGAGCCTGGCCACTCAAAAAGTGTCTGCAGACCAGCATCCCCTGGGAGCTGTCTGTCTACACAGGTCTGTGGGAACACGATCGCCAAGTGACACTCCCTACTTTGGAGCTGGGCTGAGTTTGAGTCCCAGCTCCTTGTCCACTAGCTGTGTGCCTTTACCCAAGTTGCTTTACTTCTCTGAACCCCAGTTTCCTCATCTGCTAAATGAATTAGGATAAAAATTCTTTACCCGAGAGGGTTAATCATTTACATTAAAGCAGATGATGTGTGTACGAGGGACTGAGCCCAGTGTGGGGTGACCACACTGTGTGTGCCAACAATGTTGCTGTTACTGTCTGGAGACTCAAAGATGTGGACTTAGTTCTTGTCCTGGGTTGATTTAGGGCAAGTCACTTTCTCTCTCTGGACCTCATTTTCCCCAGCTGCTCTTGTCTTTGGATCTCTGCCCCACCTTCCACTTCCACACTAGATGGTCTCTTGAGGAAGGGGGAGGGGAACTCTGCCAAATTCCAAGGACCATGTGGGGAATGGGCTGTGTTATTCTTTGTCCTTCAGGCTGCCCTGTTCAGCTGCTTCTGCTCTTGCTGAGACACAGTGGTGAGGCTGGTCCTGAGGCCAGGCTGCAGCCACCGCCACTTTCAGATGCTCCCTTGCACAGGCTCTGCTCAGTGGCTTTGGAACTGAGTCCTCATCTCTCCTTGGGACAGCAGTATGGCTGTAGGTCTGGACCCAGGAGCCCACTAGCAGCCACTGTGGGCTGTGCAGACCCAAGTGAATGAGAGGGCGTGTGTGTCCTCTGGAAGCCCAGCTAGGGCCGACTTGTCTCGTGTGGGAGCGAGCAGGAATTTTCCTCTTGTGTGTGCAAACAGTATCCGTTTTCTCTTGCTTCCAAAAGCTGGTGATGTAACCGATTCTTCCCCTCTGGCCTATTTTTAGCTGGCCCGACAGACAGTATCCTAAAAGGCTTCCAGACCTCGTTGCTCTGCGGCCATGTAGGGAGGTCGGCATGAGGTGAAGAGAGACAGAAGCTGGGCTGTCTGTCCCAGGATGGGGGGTGGGGAGAGGAGGTGCTAGTGGAGACAGCCAGGGTAGAACCTTAAGCTTGGAGGCGCCTGGCTGTGGGGAGCCCCTCAGGGTATCTAAGCACCCAGGCTGGATCCTCCTGTAGGACTGAGTCTCTGCTCTACCCACCCTCACCCTGCCTTGGGTGTGCTTCAGAACAGGAATGATGACAGCACCTATGCTGAGGGCTGTTAGGGACTTGAACCCCTTCTTGTAAATCAGTGTCTGGTAGAAAGGAAGTCTCCGTAACTGGGAGCTGCGATTGGCACTATTGTCATCAGCCCCAGGGAGCTGCTTCTCTTGGTGCTAGGGTTCACCATGAGTCCTGGTGCCTGTGTCCTTTTATTCTTTCCTGCTCCTCTTCAACCAATGTGTGAATGAATTAAATAATACCCAGAATGCCCTGGGAATAGGGCCAGGCATCTAATCAATGCTAAAGAAGTGAGGGCTGTATTTGTTTTGTTTGACTGTAATAAAACAGATCTGGGTTTGAGTTTTGGCTTCAGCCATTGACTGGTTCTGTGTCTTCAGGCAAGACATTTAACATCTCTGAGCTCACATCTGTAAAATGGGCTAACAACCCTTATTTAGGAGTGGTAGTTCGAATGAACTGCAAAACAAGCAGGCTCCAAGATTGCAATGCTTAGTATCATAAGTTTGCTTCTTGTGGGTGCAGAGCCCAAGGGCAGAGTCAGCTGCAGCCTGGCTCCTAGCATCCAGCTTTGTGATTGTGCCTTGCCCGATGGCAGGAGCAGCACTTTATAGTTTATGCAAAGGGGGAGGTGGTCCCTCCTGTCTGTCTCCCTCAGCGCTGTGCTTGTGCCTTGAAGGTGGCAGTCACACCTAGTTTTATGGTTGGCATCAACCCCGCTGTCTGGTTGCACCACCACCTCTCAGCTGGGAGCTCTTGGAGGGCAGGTGGGATGTATTCACTCATGCACCATCCCCACCCAGCCTGGGGACAGGCCCAGGGTGGGTACTGAGCACTGCACTGGCACATAGAGGCCCCCCCCGTCTGACCCCCTGTCCTTCTTGACTTTTGCAGATGGGAGGAGGAGCTTGCTAAGCGCATGAACCTTCAGACCATGGTAGACACGCTGCAGGAGGTAAGAGCCCTCGGGTTCTGAGTGGTCCAGGAGAGGCACCCGGATGCTGGGAAGCAATTCCCAGCACAGCCTCTGCTCCGTGTTCCCTTCTGTTGCCTTTGTCTCTCCCCTGTGGAGCTAAGAGGTCTCTTCCCCTCCTCTACTTAAGAGCAGAGCAGAACAGCTCAGGCCCAGGAGCTGGAGCTTCAGGGTCTTGCTGGATGACCTGGGGTCAGGGACTTCCTTCTCTAGCCTCTGTTTCTGGGCTAGGTGGGTTCTAAGTTCCCCTGCCCTCAGCTTGCAGGTCCCCTGAATTGGGACTGATGCCTTGGAGAGAGCTGGGAGACATGTCATCAGGCGGGCTGCTCGCCTGAGTGGACTCCATGGTGGATGCCAAGGACATTCCCTTGCCACTGTGGCTGGTGGTTCTGCTGTTCACCTGCCGGTGGTGGACCCTGAGCAGCAAACGTCACCTCCGACTTTATTTTCCTGTGGGAACAGAAGTAGCATTCCCATTTCCTTAGAAAATCCTAAAAACTGGGCTAGGCTTGGAGCTCAGTGATAGACCACTGGATAGCTCGCACGAGGTCCTGGGTTTAATACCCAACACCACGAAAAAAATAAAATAAAAAATTTCTTTGTGCCGGGCACAGTGGCTTACCCTTGTAATACCAGCTGCTCCTCGAGGTGGAGACCAGGAGAATCACAGCTCGAGGCCAAGCAAGCAAAAAGTTAGCAAACCCCATCTCAACCAATAAGCCTAGTGTGGTGATGTATGCCTGTGATCCCACCTATTAGGAGGATCATGGTAGGTGGATCGTGGACCCAGGCTGGCCTGTGCAAAAACTCAAGTCTTTATCTGAAAAATAACTAAAGCAAAAAGGACTAGGGGCATGGCTTAAGTGGTAGGGTGCCTGCCTAGCACACCTGAGGCCCTGAGATCAAACCCCATTACATCAAAAAAAATTTTTTTTTTTGCTTTCTGATACTTAAAGCATTTATCTTCTTAGAAAGTTAGAAGCAGATGAAATAATTAGCAAGGTGTAGAAGGAAAAGGACAAACATACGCTTTCTTTTAGAACAAAGTGTTTTTTCTTTATAAACCTAACGTGTTCCTGGTTGGATACTCAGACAATTCAGAAAAGCACAAAGAACAGAATCAGAATTTGCTCCAGTTCTACCCTGTGCGCTTTATCAATTGTCGTGTGACCTTCCAGTGTTTTCTATGCAAACATCCATACTTCTAGATGCCTACTTTAGAGTGACACTCGTGACGCCATTTTCGAGATCAGAGATGGCCAAATATTGGCAATTTCGCATGGATCAATCTTTTAAAATGATAGGCTCCCTTGTTACCTTAACCCTCTCTTTTTATATCTGCCTTGGATTTTCCCCTGCCATAACTGAGCCTTTGAAACATGTTGGGAGGGCTGGGGGTGTGGCTCAAGTTGGTAGACTGTCTGCCTAGCAAATGCGAGGCCCTGAGTTCAAATCCCAATACAGGGATTAGGGAGGGGAGTGTCGGGAACGTCAGCTGGGTTCCATTGGAGGCTCATGCTTCTCCTGGGCATGCAGGTGCCCAGCTTGGTTGAGCATCGGGTGCCCAGAGCATTGGACTCTGGTGTCCAGCCTCTCATCACTCCAAGGGCGCTGGTCGTCTACAGCCTGTCCATCTCGGTTTGCAGGCAGCGCAGGAAGCTGAGGCCATCCAAGAGGAGATGAACGAGAAGATTGAGCGGCTCAAGGCTGAGCTAGTGGTGTTCAAGGGGCTCATGAGTGACGTAAGTGCCACTAGCCGCCGTCCCAGGCATCATGACTTCCCCCACACCCATCATGCAAAATGCTTCATTCACTCCGAGGCTCTGAGCTCGGCTTCTAGTTAGAGTTCTGGCTGGCTGGTTTGTCCTGAGGATGAGGGACGCATCAGAGACCAGAAGCCCTCCCCGCCCTCCCCACGTTGCTTCCCTTGGTCTGAGTAGAGATGCATTAATCTGCCGCTTAACCCATCTGCCCTCCCTGGGCTCCTCTGACGGTCTGTGTGTGTTGCTCGACTCCTTTCCAGCTCGCCATGCTGTGGCCTTGGTGTCTGGCACAGGGGCGACAGTGTGGTCTGGGCTGTGCCAGCCAGAGAGGTTCCCAGACCCAGGGTCTCTAATAGGGTTGCTTTGTCAAGTTAGGAGCAGCCCGTGTGTGTTCTTTTGGCCATCTGGGACCTGTCTGAGTGACCGACCAAGGATGGAAGCAGCTATTGGCTGCAAAGGCCTCCTTGATGCCGGGACCCAGGTTTCTTGCTGTTTTCATGCAGAGGGCAAGGTGCAGGGAGAGCCCGCCAGAAAGGAGAAGGAGCCCAAACAAACGTGGTGACTCAGCCTGGCACAGCTCCTGGTGTTCAAGGGCTAGCGGTTGGGCTGGCTGGGAGAAGATGCGGAGTCCCAGGCGTAGGCCACCAGGCTTCCCCTCTCTTGGGTCCAGAGGACCCCACTCATCCTAGGCACCTCCCACTGTTAGCTGGGGAAGAATCCAGGAGAGAGAGCTGCTGAGGCAGGTGCGCTGTGTGGGGACAGGCTGGCAATGCGGGTGGGAAAAGAAGGGACAGCTTTCAACAATGGGTGTGGCCTTTCTTTTTCTTTTTCTCCCACAAAACTGATGTATTCTGCCAAGAGGGTGCCAAGAGGGTGCCAAGAGGGGACCAGCACACACGGTCTCACGTCATCCTCCAAGGCCCCCCACTTTCCTTCCCAGCCTGAGCAGTGCTCACCACCCTTCCACTACCAGCATAGGCTCAAGGAGCCCTAGACTCCAGGGGATCTCCTCACACCTAGGGGCCTCCCCACGTCTCTCCAGCCCATCCTGCTTGCTCCACCCCTCGCTCATGTAACCCCTGCTATCCTCCCTGCAGCCCATGACAGACCTGGACACAAAGATCCAAGAAAAGGCCATGAAGGTGGATATGGACATCTGTCGCCGAATCGATATCACGGCCAAGCTGTGCGATGTCGCACAGCAGCGGAACTCGGAAGACGTGTCCAAGATCTTCCAGGTGACTAGGGCTGCCCCACTCACCAGCTGTCCCCTGATGCTCCCAGAGCAGCCCTGGTCCCTACTGCTGCCTGGCCAACCCCCTGTCCTCCCAACATCCCCCTCAGCCCCCTCCCTGAGAGGTAGCGTTGGCCTGCCCCTCCAGCCTCCCCAGGAAAACATAGGCTCAGGGACTTATAGGGCTCTGTGATGCCACCACCAAGTCTGATAGCTTTGTCCCATGGCAGAGCAGCACAGGAAGGACCTGGCAGAACTGGGCCAGCACTCAGGTCTCCTGACCCTCCAGGACTTGCTCTCTGTTCCATGCTGGGCCCACTGCCTCCCTTGCTGCCCCTTTTCTGGGTGCCAGGATTAGGCACTGTCCCCATAGTGGGGAGCCCTGGCCAGGCTAGGGGACTGACTTGAGGCCTGGCAGCTGGGCCTCAGAATGCAGGAGAGCAGCTGTTGACCTTTGCTTTCTTCCTGTTCCTTGGAAGAGTCTCTTGAAACTTCTGTGGGGGGCCCTGAGAGAAAGCAGTCAGCCAGCACCAGTGGACTGTCCTCTGGAGAGGGCTGGGAGTGATTCAGCCAATCGAGGGCACATGTCACTCTCCGAAAAGCTTTGTCCTGAGTTTAGGCTTGTGGTTTGCCTTTTGCTTGAGCTCAGGGCAGTATGGTGTGTTGTTGCTTTCTGTGTGTGACTTTGGATGTAGCTGGGCGAGGTCTGTGCCTCCCTGGGGCCCTTTCTCCACCTCCATGCCTTCTCGCCGTTGCCATCCCTCTGCTGGAAAATGGGGGATCCCTGCACCCCCATTTGCTCATGTGTTGTCTGCTTGGAAAGGAAGCTTGGTGAGCCTCGGGCTGCCCATCTGTGCCTTTGCATGTGAGAGAAGGGCTTGGAGTCATGGGTCTGTTTTTGCCTTTGTCAGGGCTTCTTCGTCTCTCTGGCTGGCTCTGAGATACCCCAGGTGACTGTGCCCTGGCTTGGCCTGCCCTCACCCCAAATCATGAGGTTGCTTTTGTGGTGAAGGGGTGAGCTGAGCCGGCCCAACCACCAGGCCTTCCAGGGCAGGGCTTGATCCACGTCTGTTCTCCTCTTGCATGTCTCCCCACCACATGCTTCCTGCTAATGCCCTCTGCTTCCTAGAGGGTCTGCACATCTCTCTGCAGCACGACCCTAGCCTTGCTCCATCAACCCCCTGAGATGCCATTTCCCTTTCTGGCCCACCCTGCCCCTCCATCCCAGATGAGCCCCTCCAGTTATCTTGATCTCTTCTTCCCTTCTGGTGCAGGTGGTCCCCAAAAAGAAAGAGCGTAAAGTGGCTTCAGATGATGACATCTCGGAGCAGGACGGGGAGGTGAATCGGTTCTCAGATGACGAGGTCGGCTCCATGAATATCACAGATGAGATGAAACGCATGTTTAACCAGTTGTGAGTATCCCTGATCAACAGGGCATGGGGGTTGGGAAGGAACACTAGTGGCCAAGGCTCAGAGTGGCCTGAAGATATATTTGCCTTCGTCAGCACGGTATTCCGGAAGGATTGGGATTCACTTCAACAGTAATTGTTTGAGAAACTTCACATTTTCAGCCTCTCTTGGAAACTTGATTATCGCTGAGTGCAGGGCAGGGCTGACAACAGGGATGGGTAGCGGCTGCTGAATTGGACACAGTAGTCATTTATGTCACCTGCTACCTTTGCTCCCTGCCCCTCTCCAAAAGAGGGGGAGGAGGAGGGAATTGCTTCAGCTAGGGAGAGCCCTTTCTTGTCCATGGGATGAAGGGGCTGAACTATCCCCATTTTCTGGTCATGTGTAGAAGAGCCTGTGTCTGATGATTCCATGAATACAGAAAGGGCCAGTGATACAGTGATCACCTGCATGTGCTATTTCTGATCAGGTCTTAGGCAGTCCCACTACTCCCAGTCTCCCTTGGTGGGCTGGCTGAGTTGAATCACGGCTTGTAGGAAGGGCCCAGCACGTGCTGAGGGCACTTGGCTGACACCAGACACTAGGAGGCAGGGCCACCAATCTCCTTTTGTAAATGAAGAAACTGAGGCTGAGAAGGTAAGAAACCTGACAAAGATACTCAGCCAGTATCTGGAGCTGGAAGTCAGCCCCAGGCCTGCCTCTCACTTTCGTGGCCTGAGATGCTACCCAGGTGATGGCAGAGTGGCTGGGTGGGGGCAGAGGTGGCCGGAGCTGACTGAGTACATGTACTACCTGAGTGCAGGTTCAGTGATGTTCTATCCTGCCATTGCAGGAAATTGGCAAATGCTACCAGTCAGGGGTCCCTGCCTCACCCTACAGAGAACTGGTATACCAGCTTCACTGGAATACCAGGGAAGGGTAGCTGGCCTTGGCCTGTTTGGTGCTGTATTCTGGATTCTGATCTATCTTGAGCTCTAATCCTTATAGTTTCCTAAAATGGGATGGGGTGAGAAAGAGGAGACAGGTGTATCCATGGGCATCCTGTGAGTCAAAGAGCATGGCTAGAACTTGGTCTCTAGGGTCTGCCTTTTCCCCTGGTGCACCGGCCTGGACTTTCTCTCTCTTCCCCCTCCCCTTGGAGTTGCGCATCTATACCCTGAGAACTCAGATATTCCCTATGTTGCCCCTGCATGACAATCCAAGCTCATGGCACCACGGTACAGATGAGGGAACTGCTCAGAGAGGGGCACTCAAGGATTGGGACAGAGACAGGCCTACCACGTGCTTTGTCTTTTATACCAGCTGTCTTTCTGCTTGGAAGAGATGTCCCTCTTCTGTCTCTGCTGTATCACTGTCCCTGAGCTGGTCTGGTTTTGGCTAAGCCAGGCTGACTTGTAAGGAAGACAGGGACAGGGTGGGGTGGGTGTCCACTGGCTTGATATCCTCCTAGACCTGCCATTCCCTTTAAACAGAGCTGAGATGGGCTGCATTCTGGACATTTGCTGTTTGAGAGTGACAAGGAGACACCTAGACTCTTGATTCATTGTCAACATGAATCTTCCCTCCCCACCAAATTTCTTATTCTCATGTTCTGCTGACAGGAAGGGCTTTTGAAAAAAATAGGGATTGGGTCCAGGCTTTCTTCTTTTCTTCTTCTTCTTCTCCTCCTCCTCCTCCTCCTCCTCCTCCTCCTCTTCCTCCTCCTCCTCCTTCTTCTTCTCCTCCTCCTCCTCCTCTTTTTTTGGGGTGCTGGGATTTGAACTCAGGGTTTATACCTTGAGCCACTCCACTAGCCCTTTTTCATGATGGGTTTTTTTCAAGATAGTGTCTCACGAACTACTTGCCTGGGCTGGCTTCAAACTGCTCAGCGATCTTCCTGATCTCTGTCTTCTGAGCAGCTAGGATTACAGGTGTGAGTCACTGGTGCCTGGCTGTGTCTAGGTTTTCTGAATGTTGCTATAGACATTCCTGAGTCTAAGACAGGGTGGGATGCCCCAAAGACCCCAGCCAAGCTTTGTGAAATTGAATTAAAGGGCTTCTATGAGCTGGACGTGGTGACTCACACCTGTAATCCTAGCACATGGGAGATTAGGAGGTGGAGACAGGATTGTGAGTTTGAGGCCATCTGGGCCACAGAGTGAGACCCTGTCTCCAAAAATAAAAGGGAGGGGGTGCTTCTCTGAAGAAATTATCCTGATTTTCATAAGGTCTGCAGGAAATAGCTAAGCTGACCAGGAATGGGGTGAGAGCCATCAGGGGCTCCACAGGCAAAGGCTCCTTCTGTATGTAGGAGTGCCAAGCTCTATGTCGGGCCAAAAGCAGTGTTGCAGAAGTGGGTGCACCTAAGTGTTGACAGATCTGAATTGGGTTCCATATTGAATTAGATTTATCTGCCTGTCAAGTTGCCCAATTTAAAAAGAAAAAACAAGTCCTCTGACTTTGACACTATGATCTCTCCCCCCGCCCCACTCCTATCCTGCAGGTGTAGGCAAGGCAGCAATGACCCACTCTAGGCAGGCCCTGGCTTCCTCCTGACATCTCCGCTAGCTGTGGCCCAGACCCAAGTCAGAGGCTGCCCCCAGCCAGTTCTAGTGAAGTCTCTGAATGACACACCCGTGTCAGGGCTGTTTTGTTTTGATCCAAATCAGTTGCTTGGGCTTCAGACCAAGGAGAACAGGAGGAATTTGTTTCCTCCCTACATGGAGGCCAGCCTCCCTCCAAACCCTCCCCTGGGATGGGTCCTCTTCCAATCCCTACTCTTGTCTATCTTCTGGTCCTTTCTGGCTCACTGTACCTCAGTAAGGATTTCCTTCAGGTCCCAGAAGCTGGGAAGGAAGTGAAGTCAGGAGTGTAGTATGTGTGGCAATGACGGGTGGACCCTAGGGGCTCCAGCAGTGCCTCCCTCTCCAGCCCTCCAACCCCAGCTCTGAACCCTGACTCACAGAGCTGCCTACAGGCTCCGGCAGGAACTGCTGTTGGACGGGGAACCAGCCTCGCCTGACTCCAGGGGACGCTCTAGACAGCTTTTTATCAGAAATTCTTCTGGGCTCCTGCCCAGTGGTCCTCAGCCCATCCTTAACCCATTAGACAGTTGGGAGACGTGTTCTAGAGGATCCAAGAAGAGTGGAGGAAGGAAGCTTCGGCAACGAGAGGAGCCCTGGGATGGATCCTATTCTCCTGTACCACAATGTGCTTAAAACCCGAACCTAGCCTTCCCCTTTGAATAGTAGCTATGTTGAGTGGATGCTCACGAAGATCCCCTCCAGTTAGGTAACCAGTGCATCTTAGTCCCAGGCAAAATTGGATGGTTGGTCACTCCACTTCCAGTTCTAGCCAATAGGGAAGCCCTAAAATTACTCAGACTTTGAATTCCAGTCCAGTTTCTCGCATGTTTCAGTCTATCTGGCTGCTTATTCTGTTGGAGCCTCTGTCTCCTCATCTGAAAACAGGACTAATACTCATGCTTACCTCACAGGGATTTTTTGTGAGGGCACCATGCTAAGGTGACAGCCTGGCCCAGCATGCAGTAGGTACTTGGTGATGTTTTGATGGGGAGGGAAATGCTGTAGAAACAGAAAAGTCTGGTTTTCGGCCCCAGTTTCTGCTCCACATTAGTGGTGTGACTTTGGACAAGTGAGCTATTTTTTCTGAGCTATGATTTCCTCATCTGCAAAGTAGGAATTAGTAATATCACCTTGCTAAATTGCATAGAATATAAGTCGCCTTGCTCATAGTAGGGGAGCAATAGATAGTTATTAAATGAGTAAAAAAAAATCTTAACATTGGATTTGGGAGGAAAATATCTTTAGTTTCCATTAATGAAAGCCCTTTTTTTATGTGTACATGGTGCCAGGGATGGAACCCAGGACCTTGCAGGTACGAGGCAAATGCTTTACCATTGCGCTACACCCTCAGCCCAAAAAATATATACCATCTTTTTTTGTTTTTGTCGTACTGGGGTTTGAACTCAGGGCCTACACCTTGAGCCACTCCACCAGCCCTTTTTTTGTGACGATTTTTTCAAGATAGGGTCTCTTGAACTATTTGCTTGGGCTGACTTTGAATTGTAATCCTCCTGATCTCTGCCTCCTGAGTAGCCAGGATTACAGGCGTGAGCCACCAGAGCCAGCTACTAAATACTTTTAATTGACAAATAAAATGTAAATACATTCTGCATTTCAAAAGAGTTAAACTCTTTTTTGATAAGACACATGTCCCTTTGGCTACTATGCCTGGGGGGCACACTGTTTCCTGGGGGCAGCCTTGGAGGTGTAAACCCAGGGAACAGAAAAGTGTTTCTGTCTCCTGTGGGGCCTGGCTTCTGTTCAGTCATGCCCTCCAATGTCATCCCCATAGGAGAGAGACCTTTGATTTTGATGATGACTGTGACAGCCTGACGTGGGAAGAGAATGAAGACACGTTGCTGCTTTGGGAAGATTTCACCAACTGTAACCCGACCATTGACCTGCAGGGCGAGGTGAGCCTGGGGCCCGGCTTCCCAAGTCCAGGGGTTGGGGATCTGGGACACTTCCTTTTCTAGATCCTCATTCTTCACTTGCATTCCCAACCACCCAGCTAAAATGTCCCCTCTGCTTTGTTTCCCCAGCAAGAGGAAAACTTGGGCAACCTGATCCATGAGACCGAATCCTTCTTTAAGACAAGAGACAAAGAGTACCAGGAAACCATAGGCCAGATCGAGGTGAGGGCTCGGGCCATGGTACCCACTAGTGACCTGAGGTCCACATGGTTTTGCTCCCAGGTGATCAGGTGTTATGTAAGTCTTGACTGACACATGGTCAGGACTTGGGAAGCCTACAGAGTCCCTCCCTAGCCTTGGAATCACATTCATTTTACAATGTCCCTAACCTGTAAAGTGGGGTAGTCATTGCTGCCTGCCCCAGAGAGTTTTATTTTTTTTTTTAATTATTCGTTTGAGCTGGGAATGGTGGCATATGCCTGTAATTCCAGCACTCAGGAGGCAGAGGCAGAAGGATTTCAAGTTCAAGGTCAGTTTGGGCTTCATAGTGAGAACTTCTCCTCAAAAAATAAAAAAAGAAAGAAAGAGAGAGAGAAAATTATTTGAGATGATGATCCCAGAATAACCACAGCTAACTTTTGAGTGATTCTGAATGACGGTAGTTACTACATAAGCCCATTGTGAGCACATCCTCCCACTGTCCTTACCTCTACCTATGCTGTACGATCTGTGCTCCCACTTTACAGGAGAGGAGATGAGGTTAAGAGCCCAAGTGACTTGTCCAAGTCCCCACACCCAGGAAGCAGCATTCAAGCCAGTTCTCTTTGGCTCGACAGTATGTGCACTTGGCCACGTCTATAAACAAAAATGAATGCCATTACCATGCTGGAGAAAGAGAGCTCCAGGTACTCCTGGAGGAAATGTCATTGGGAGGAGGAGAAGGTTCAGAAACATGAAAGAGACTGGAGATGTTTTATACTCAAGTCTACGTAAATGAATCCAGAGATGCTGAGTGCACAGGAGTCACCAGAACTGGGTGGGGCTTAGCAGGGCAGGATAGCTCTGGGGTTGCTAAGCAACCATTCCTCTTTGACCAGAAGTACTTCAAGAAGATATGGACCGGTTTGTGGAGAGTAGAAGGCGAGGGAAGGTGATTTCCGTGAGGCAAGGTCTAAAGGGAATAGTGTCCAGCAGCGGCCTTAGTGGTGTCCCCACTGAGGAAGGAAGGAGGAAGGGTCTATCCTGAGAATGACTTGTTCTCACTCGTATTCTTGGTTGGTTCCTCCCAGCTGGAGCTGGCCACAGCCAAAAGTGACATGAACCGCCACCTGCATGAGTACATGGAGATGTGCAGCATGAAGCGAGGCCTGGATGTGCAGATGGAGACCTGCCGCAGGCTCATCAAAGGCTCTGCAGACAGGTACTGGCCCGGTCCCCTCTGGGGATTCGGTGCTGTCTTTAGGGGGATCCAGCTTATAGTCTGGCCACACTTCATCTTCCCAGCCCATCTGTCTGTCCATCCATCTACCCACCTCTGCATTCAGTGCATATTATCCTACCTATGTGCTAGGTGACTCACATATCTAATCTCATGGGATTCCTACAACAACCCTGTCTCCATTGTCAAAGGCCTGGTGTGTGCAAGGCCATGGGACCCAGTGCTGGAAAGTGAGAGCCTCTGCCCTTCTGGAGCTTACACCCCATTTCTGCTGAGCTGGGGGTGGAGGAGGGAACAGGGTAGTCCCCACTATTGCTGATTAGGCTCGTAAATGTCTCTGGGAAGTGACTTCCCTTCCTCCTTTCCCACCTTCCAGCCCAGAGCCAGATGGGTCTGTCCCCTAGTGACTGATGTCCACCAGGCATGACACACAAGGACGGAGGGCCATCCTCCCCTGCCCACCCCGCCCCAGGACATGCAACCTTGTTGGGAGACAGACAACTGATAGTAGAATGACATAATCCTGGGACAATGCTTGCTATGAAGCACACACATGTGTAGATTGTAATTCTTATCATTCTTTTGCCTATTTTTTCTGTGTACTGGGGTTTGAACACGGGACCTTGTGCTTGCTAGGCAGGTGCTTTACCACTTGAGCTATACCCTAGTCCACATTTTCTTCCTTGTTAAAATTGCTCCTGTATAAGGGGGAGCAGGGTGGGGGGGGTGCTTGGCTTAACCTGTGCTACCTTTAACTCATGGAGTCCCCCAGAATCCTCTTAATATAGGCAAGTGGAGAAGCTTGATTAGGGGCCCCCAGCCGTCTATGATAGAACCAGAATTGCAACACAGCCATTAACCTCCATCCTATGTAGCCTCTTTTTGTGCTTTGAGTTGTTTGGGTTTACTAAGCGCCCACTATGTGCCTGGACCTGGGATGGATGTTGCAGGATAAAAACCAAGCTTTATCCACGAACCCTGTTCCCATGGAACTTTCCATCTAGGAAAGCCAAGTATTCAGACCTAGCAGAGGGGGTGGATCTGGGGGTGGGGGACATGGTGAGGGACAGAGCCATGTTCAACTCATGAGCTAACATGATCCTGAGGAAAGTGGGGCCAGGGCAGGATCTCAGGGAAGAACTCTTGAGGGTAGATTTTAGAGGAGGGACTGCTCATCCTTCCTGCCCCTGGACCCTTCAGGAACCTTGAACTACCTTCTCAATGTCTCCCATTCTACTGTGCCTTCCAGAAATTCACCGTCCCCCAGCTCCGTGGCCAGTAGCGACTCAGGAAGTACAGATGAGATCCAGGATGAGTTGGAGCGGGAGGCAGATGTGGAGCCCATGGTCAGCTGATGACGGAGGCCTCACACAGCTGGTGGTTCTGGTGATGGGGTTCCGGCCCCCTCTCTCTCCACAGGGCCAGGAAGGCTCCTTGGAGCGGGCTCCAGTCCTCACCACACAGACTTCCTCCGTCTTCCTTTCTCTGGAGGCCTGAGGGACCGCTGCTTCCTTCCTTCCTTCTTCACCACTCCACCACCGACCAGTGCCCCTTTTCCGTCCATCCACCACCCCTCCACCCACGGAATGGTGCTGTCAATTTCTATCGTTCTCCACATTACAAATGCAGACTTCTGTGCGATGATGCAGGTGTCACTGTGCCTTCTCCCTTAAGCTGAGCCACTTTGAGCTCCAAAGTATTATTACTAAGCAGGTGTTTTTATACAAAATTCTAAGGTGAGGGCGGGGCCCGGGGCGGGGCGCGGTATCATAAGGTTCTCTACCCTCCCACCTGCTCCTCTGATTGGCTATGAGCTTTGCCCTCCCTTCCTCTGTCCTGGCACTGGACTGGCTCTGTGCTTGGGGTGATCTGCCTTCCCCAGGAAGGAACCATTTGCCTCCAGGCCTGGGTGGGGACCTCCCATGCTCTCACTCACTGAAAGAGAGAAAGGTGGAAGGAAGGGAGAGAAGACCAATTTTTTCCTTTTCTGTTTTTTGGATTTAGTGGCAAAGTGGAGGGACAAGGCACTGTGGGGTGGGGGGAAGGTGGAGCCTCACTGTGTTTAAACTACCTATGCAAAAAAACAAAACAAACTAAAAGCAGCTTGCCTTATATCATTGTGGAAGATAGGCCTTCTCCTGGACTCCTGGTGTTCCCCAGGTCTAGGAGGGAGGCTGGAGTTAGGGTATCTCTCTTGCAGCCCCAAGGGCGAGCAGTAGCAGGGGAGGGGGTCTGGCCAAGGTTGGTTATGAGACCTGCATTCCTGCAAGCTCAGCCCACCTGACTGCTTGCTTTCTTTGGGACCTCTGTGGGGTGGGGAGTGGGGGTCTTATTGTCCTGATGACTTGATGTTCTCCCCTCCCTCTCCAGCCAACCATAAGGGGTTATAGAACTATACTTTCTCTGTGAGAAAGTCTGAAGAGGCCAGGCCTGGTACCTACTCTGTCCACAGTGGAGCTGGTTAGTACCAGCACGCCACCATCTTGGTTCTCCACTGTCCTGCTACCACCTGCTGCTTGGTTACTGGCAGGAAGCTGGCATCGGAAACAGAGGGGAGGGAAATGGTGGGCTGGAGGTGGCTTGGGTAGGAGCCCAGGTGAGAACCATGCTCATTTTGCTCATTTGCAAGCCTCTCCATGATTGACTTGACTGCCCAGTTGGGGAGTTAACCTGAGCCAGTCTCTCCCCAAGGCTCGAGTGGATCTGACTTGCAGGGCTCTGAGCCCGTCGGCCAAGTCTCCGCTGGGAGCCTGCCCAGCAAGCAGGCTCTGCCCCCAACCCCCACTTTTTGTGCCCACTACTATGGGTGTGATTGCCCACCCTGGTTTTTCTTGACCCAGGGGCTCCCTCTAGAGGCCAAAGGAGCAAAATGTGCCTGGAGGACCAGAACTACCATCCTCTGCCTATATGTGCAGGCAGAGAGGGACTCTGGGCTGGAGTGGACTTTCCTGTGCAGGGCACTATCGACCTTTAAAGACTTTCTCGCTCTTCCATCATCCACACCTGTTTTGCGTTTTAAAACCATTGTACATAATATTCATATATATGTGTAGAGAAAGAGAGCGAGTGCTAGTGACTGTAATGTAACTTATCAGAATTTGGTGGCCTTTCTTATGCATTTTTTTCCTTTGTTTTGTTTTGTAATGTTGGGGGACATCCCACCAGTCCCCTGTGCAGCCTGGCTGCAAGACTTCTGTTATCATCTCTTAGCCAAACAGTCCCTTTTGGCAGGTACTTGGAGGGACAGTGGTTTGGGAAAAGAGACAGCCCCCACTCCCACTGATCCTTGTTGTAAAGGTTACAGGGTTCACACATAACTGATTATTATTATTGTTGTTATTGTTATTATTTCATTGTTGTTTTGATTTTAACCAAAGGTTATCAGAGCCATGGGCTTGAACCTCAGCTGCTGAAAAGATTTTCCGTTTCCGTGAGGGCAGGAAGATGGCTGCCCCATGGGTCTTCTCTGCCCAGGGCTGAGGGAGGCATCCGATGGTGGGCTTTGGGAATTTCACAGGCAGGGTAGAAGCCAGTCCTGGGCTGTTCCTCAAGGTGGTGGGAGGGTGACAGACTTATCTTTAGAGTTACGACAGTAAGGCAACAGTGTGAGTATCTGAGGATGACAAAGGTGACCGTGGCCATTGATGTTCTGTGGTGTTATTTTTGCTTTCTCCACTGTATACAGAGGTCGTTTGTCTGTCGGGTGCTCTGACTATGTCTAGGTCATATGAGAATGGCAGTTTCCAGAGAGAGACATGGGCCTGAGAGTTCCTTCCTGCTGGCTTTCAATGTCTGCTTTTCCATTGGGAGCAAGGTTTTAGGGCAGGAGGGTGAGGGAGGAAGAGCAAGGGTGTGGTGGCCCTGCCTCCTGGGCTGGTTCCTGGGTCTCAGCCTGGCCGCCTCCCACTCCACTAAGTTCTTTTTTAAGTTTGTTGCCAGTGGGTCCTGCTTGTCCCCTCACCATGAGCCCACAGCTTGCCAAGAAAGACCCCACTGCTCACTGGGGCAGCACCTGGCCCAGTTGGGCTAAACTGGTCCGTCCTTTGTAAAGCTGTAAATACTTACGTTTTTGGTTTTCTACTTCTAAACCCAGTGTCATATTGACATTGGTATTTTGGAATTGTTCTCAGATGGGCTGTCCCATGCTGCCCCCCCTTACTCTCCTGCTTTTGGGGGTTCTATAGACTGGGGAGTGGCAGGGAAGTAGCATCCTTTTGGCTCCCTGGTTGGTTGTGAAACACACACACACACACACACACACACACACACACACACGACACACTACACTGAGACTCCAAATGGGAAAATGATTGGCAAGGAAACACATTTTGCTTTCTCATGGCAGTGTGTCTCCAGAGCTCTGGAGGACTGTCTGTCATGGACTCAGCTCTGGGGATAGAGCTCAGATGATCTATGGACAGTCAAATCACTTTTGCTTGGGGTAGGAGGAGAGGGGCAGGATGGGGGATAATATAAGGTGTAAATTAAGTTAAAGGTAATCTATTTATAAAGCAAGAGACTCTCATCTATTTTTATGGAAGGAAAGGGTTTTTAATCTAGGGTAGGCAGTCATGGTAGCCAGCATTTTTCTGTGGACGAGATATCGTGCATGCTGCTGCTGGATTTAATATAATCAGTAACCCCCCCCCCCCACCTTTCCATTCACAACCATGAAGGGTTTCAGCAGAGTTTCCTTCTTTCCTGACCCCTCAGCTCTTTGGAAGTCTTGGAAGGGGGTATGGTGGGGGGGTGGGGGGGCTGCAGGTTTTTCAGAATTGAGGTGGGGGAGGGAAAAGGGGTCCTAGGTGGGATTAAGCTCTGTGTCATTAGTTATCCTAGCTCTGCTCTGGCAAAACCCACTTCCAGCTCAGCTGTATTGGGAGTGGGCTAAGAAGCAGCAGGGTGTGGTTAGCAATGGGGCTCTCAGTTTGGGAAGCACTTAACCTCCTTAGGCCTGGGCCATAGTGTGCCCAAGGCTATCAGGCAACTGGGACAGAAGTACATGTGCAGGAAGATGCCCAGCCCTGGCTGTGCCTACTCAAGCCAACAACTGGTAGGTTATAGTCCTTGTGCCCCTGAGGGCCCTGGATGAAGTTTCCTAGGTCTGAGCCCTCTCTTTTGGACACTGAGCTCAGCTCACCATTCCCCCTCCCTCTCAAGCTCTCAAATAAATGATGCAAAGCCCCCTATCAAGACCCCTTTGTGAACATTTTAGCATTTACCTGGTTTTTAGTACTGCTCTACCCCACTGTTGCTGTTTGTTTGCCACCAGGGTCTAGCATCACTAGGGAGGGGGTTCCTTCTCACTGAAAGACTACTGATCCTACCAGAAAACCAACCTGTTTACTGTACTGTTGTAAATATTGTGCCCTTTGTATCCTGTATATTGGCTTCTTTTAAATAAAGTAAAATGTCTTAGAATTCATGGTGCATTCTTTTTAAATTGTGGTGATCGAGGCAGTGGCTAGAAACCTAAGGGCCACACAAAAACTAAACCAAACTGATTAACAAATAGGGAAATTCCGTATCACCTGCTAATTTACATCTCACAATAAGATCTTTGGAAGAAGATAAGGCAGGGATGATGACAAGTTTTGCAAAAGGGGAAGACAGGGCCAGAAATCACAGGCTAACTGGCGCAGCCTAGTCTGGAATTGAGGTCCCGTTCATCACAAAGCCCTCATTTCTGAAGCCTCCGCACTGTGTCCACAAGAGGCCAACTCCTCGGCCTCTGGATTTGATACTGTCTGGTATTCTAATTTCTTCTTAACTGCCCATATTCCGGGCAACATCTCTCTAATGTGAAATGAAGTCATCTGACTAGGGCCTTCACCAGAGATGAAGAGAAACCGCCACAGCTAATTACAGTTGGCTTTAAGACAAAACATGGCACTTAGGTAGTTTCTCTTTCTTACTCCCCACTCTTCGTGCTCCAATTTCCCTAAGTGTCTCTAGTAATCTGAAGGAAAAGGAGTGGTCTGAGATGAGTGTATTCTATTCTAGGTGGGTATTATTACCCCCATTTTACACTGTAAAATTTGCTCAGTGTCATATCAAGTAACCAGAATTAGCAGAGGAACACACTCTGAAGCAGCTTGGTTTACACTGTTGGCGAATATTATTAGAATGGGGGAGGGGGAAGTAACTATTTTCGGAGTAGAGTGGGCCCCTAAACCCTCATCATCAGAGAAGACTTCAGAATCAGAGTTTTAAATACATTCAAGTGTTCATCAACTTCTCATGCAGAAAACTGAAATTTTTCATTTGGGGGCTCGGGGGTAGGAGCGCAGGAACAATTAATTTTGCGGCCAGAGGTTCTGAACGAGAAGCTAAGCACAGATCCACTAGAGCTTTAGCTCGCATTGATCGCAATCTGGAACGGACAGGCCTTGGGCAGCTGGCGGGCCCCGCCCCAAGCCAGAAGGTGGAGCAAGGCTGGGTCCTGGCCAGGAAGCTGCAGGCAGGCTCAAGCCAGGGCTGCAACCCCGGGTTGGGGCAGGAAGCTGGCCGCTGTGTGGCCCTGCGGGACTGAATCTGGTAGGGGGAAGATTTTCAGCCTTCCATCAGCCAAGGGCAGCGGGAGAGGAGGCCGGTGGACCCTCACTGCACCGGTAACACTGACCTGCTCAGCTCACCCGCCCGCCGGCCTTCCGCCCGCTCTCTCATTGGCTCGTGCGGCCCTTTCTTCCCCGCCTAAGAAGGCTGCAACATAGCTGCCCCGCTGATTGGCCTAGGGGCTTCAATACGTGACTCTAATTGGTTAGTGGATCTCACGCCCTCCGCCCTGGGTTATACCATTAGGAGAGGAGGCGAAAACGTATATATTTCACAACTTCTCTTCCCGGTTCCCTTGTCCCGCGATACATAATGGCCTCTATCATGTCATCATATGTCGATGATTATTAATAGAAAATGAATCCATGCAGAGGGACTCCCGAGGTCAGAGAACGACTGGGGCGATGTGCTCCCTCTCCCGCCGAGGTGGTGCGCTCGGGGCGGGGCCACGCAGCCTAGCGGCGCCGGGCGGACGCTGCTGGGAACAGCCGAGCCCTGGCAGAGATGCTGCAGCCGTCCGTTTTGCGTTGCGCCCTGCTGACCCGCACGTGGAGGGGGGCCGGGTGAGTGAACCCCAGGCCCGGCCGAACCGGTGCCAGTTGACCCAGTCCTCAGAGTGCCTGGGCGTCCTCCAAGCCGGAGTCCTCCCTACGAAATTCCCTAGGCTGCTCGGGTATCCGCCGGAGTTTCAGGGCTCCTCTCCACGCGGGGTCGGGTCCTCCAAGTGTCTCCCCCCACCCCCTGCCCAGCCTTCGTCCCGCGGAGATCCCGCAGTCTCGTTCCTTGTCTTCCTCAATTGCTCACCTTCCCTGAACGAGGGGATCGCCTTCCCGACTCCTGCGACCGAGTTGGGTGCCCGGGCCCCTGTCCCACCCACGCTCGGAAAGTGGTCTCCGTCTTCACTGTCTCTCTCCGAATACTGCATGTTCGAAATCTGCTGGCTTCTGCCGAGGAGCACCTCTATTTTTAGCACACCATGCGTCTCACTTCCCTACCCTCAGCTTACATTCCGGTCCCCGCTCGAGAATTCCTGAGTTCTGTCTTCCATCTACTCGATCCTTGTCCCCCCACCTTTTTTTTTTAAGTTAAACGTTGGGCCGAAAGGCGGAACTGTCTCCTGATAGATGCAGTAGTATTTATGGAGTGCTTACAGTGTGCTAAACTAATGCAGTTGCACGTGTCTGAGTGTGGGGATCGCACGCCTTAATACATGTTAGGTGCCTGGTTTTACTCTTGCCGTGGTCATCACAGCCACTCCAAGCTTCTCACTGCCGTGAGGCATACATACTATGAAGAAATGGAGGAGCACTTGCAGGGTGGAGCTGCCCTTCAAATCCATATTTGCAAATCTCCACAGTGACAAGTGTTCTAAGAGCCCCTCCTGCTCTGGGCTAGAGGGAAGACAACAGAGAGACTGCCTGGGAGGGGCTTGCAGTCTGGCAGGACTGTGAGTTTGAGTCCATGTTTCTGTTTGCCTCCCTTATAAAGCTGGACAGCACTCCCTTGCCCCCACCTGAGTTTTGTTTGCTGGCCCCTTGCCTTGTGATTGACTGCCTGTGTCTCCCCTACTGAGCTGTGTCCTTTCTGAGTTAATCAGTGTCCCTCTTCCCTGCCCCCATGGGATAGCATGAGTGAGTTTCAAGTCCTCTGTGTGTCCCCAGTGGGGAAGGGATAGAGAAGGACACAAGAAGAAGACGTGGGAAGAGGGGCTCCTCTTCCAAATAGAGACGGGACCACATTTGCCAGACCCTCATTGTGGTCCCATTTGCAGGCCTCTTCTGAACTCTTAAGATCATCACTTTCAGACCCCAGAGGGAAGCCCAGGTTCGGTGAGGCCATCTGTTTACCTCCCTTACCTTCCGATCTGAACCATGCAGGTGCTCTACTAGGCATGCTGGAGGGGATTTCCCGAGGGTTAGCCTTTAAGGAGTTTTCTGCTTAGTGGGGGAGAAAGGTGTAGACATAAAGACCTTCTAATATCTGGCAGAAAGCAACCCATGTTCTAGAAGCAAAGCAAAGCAGTTAAGTACCATGGCCCAGTCACTGCTGGTAAGCACCTACTTGTGCCCATTCAACAGATAGGGAACATCTACCAGTTACAACAGATGCAGGATAAGTTATAGTTGGACTGACTCCAGATTCCTGCTCTTAATTATGAGGCCTCCTGGGTTGAGAGCAGGGGAGAGTATTTTGCAACCAGTTCCTTCCAATTTGGCATGCAGCTGGCCTGGCCAGATTCCCAAACCTGGGCACCATGAACACTTGGGGTCAGATAATCCTTTGTTGGGGGTTGCTCTGGCAGTACCTTTGGCTTTGCCCACTGGGTATGAGTAGCACCCTGACTGATGACAATAAAAAATGCTACTTGTCATCTGTTGTTCCTAATTGAGAGCCGCAGCTCTAGGACAGCTGGTGTTTGGTACTTGTTCATTTATTTAACATATATTTAGGACATACCTGTAGGGTGCTGTGTCTGCATATATGGAGAAATGGTTGGAGGACACCTTTTAGTGATAGCTCTCAGTGTCCTAGATGTAAATTCTAGTACCAAGGAAAATCACCTCCCTTGAGGAATCTACTAGTAGTATTTCCTTTTTTGCCCTGAGTGCCAGAAATCTCCACCAGTTTTTTAAAAAAATTCTTGGTAGTATGTGTTTTTAAAGTTTAATTAATATTGTGTCCATTGTAAAAGTGCAGCTCAAAAATAAAGATTACAAATAATCTCTTTATTTTTAGTTTTTTTATTATTACAAATAATGTGTAATCTCAATGCACAGAAGTAGCCACTGTCATTGTTCTGAGGAATTCTCTTCTAACTTTCCATGAACCCATACACTTTAAAACAAACAAAAACCCACATAAAAATGGGCTGATCTGCCAAGAAGAAGATTCCACATTTTGCACTAAAAGGACCTCCTTTTAATGCAGGTGCACTAAAAATACTGAATAAAGTCACATTCAGGCTGTGTAGAAGCTGTGTATAAAACATAAAGGGATTTCCTGTTTAGACTTGGGAACGGACCCAAGATACCTCGTTATGTCCGTGCAAATACAAAAGTCTTTGGTCTCAAGCATTTCAGGTAAGGACTGTTCCACCTGTGCTTTTTTTGTAACTTGCTTTTTCCCTTTCATCAACTTGACATGCCTTACTGTGTGTCCACAGGACCCAGAGCTATGTCTGACATGTGGTAAGCCCTTGCTTGGCAAACTGGTGAATGAATGAATTTAGAGGTGGGCCCTTCCTTATCAATAGGTATTTAATGCAAACAGTCTTGAGAAGATCACCACAAATGTGGTTGGTTTTTTTTTTTTTTTTTTTTGTAGTACAAAAAAAAACTCAGGGCCTACACCTCAAGCCACTCTGCCAGCCCTTTTTTGTGATAGGTGTTTTTGAGATAGGGTCTCACGGACTATTTGCTTGGGCTGGCTTTAAACTGCAGTCCTCCTGTTATTTGCCTCTGAGAAACTAGGATTATAGGCGTAAGCCACCAGCTCCGGCAACATGTGGCCTTCGAGAATGAGTCCAGGAATTGTAGCTGGTGACAGTGGCTACCATTTGTCTTTTATGTCTATTACTCAGCTCCTCAGCACCTAGGATGTAGGTGTTACTCTCCCCATTTCATGAATCAAACAACTGACATCAGTGGAAGTTAAGGAAAACTTGTCTGACCTGAAGCCATTGATCACCAGGACTCCCAACTACTTGCCTCCTTTCTCTTGACCTTGGCTTTGTCCTTTTCTGTATTAACTTTCTTATCTGTGTTCTTGGTGTACATCTCTGCACATTCTCTTTGGATTTAGGTGGAATACAGATTTATATATAAACTTAATAAAAAAGCCAGGCACATATGAATGTCAACTTCTGTCCCTTGTGCCAGACCCAGAGGTGACACCTGCTGGGCTGCTGGGGAGCTAAGAGAGCTTGTGGGCTGGAACTGGCCACTGCCCTACTGTGTCCGCAATTGTCCTGGGGGATTTTAGACTCTTGATAATTTCAAATCTACTCAGTGCGTTTCCCAGCCTGCCCCTTGCAGGTGACTGATTGTAAAGATTAGAGCTTGCTGGGTGTCTGGTACCTAGTGTGTGCTCAGTAAGTATTTCAGTACAGGAGTAAATAGAACCTGTAGGTACCACAGTGCTTCTAAGGTTGTTCAAGTCCCTACAGAGGCAGCAGCTGGCACTGGCACTGGCACCCCTGGAAGCACTCTACACCCGACACACAGTAGATATTATATGGTTGTTGTTAGATGACACAGAGCATGGCTTGGAGCCTGACTTCACCTCTTAGCAGTTCTGTGGCCCCGGACAGGTTACTTATCTCTCTGTGCTGCCTTGGCTTGTCATATGAAAAATAACAGTAGTCACTTCACAGGGTTGTCTTGGGGATTAGATGGATTCACACACAACTCAGTAAGGGCCGCTACATTGTGGTTACAGTCCCCCCTCCCTGATCAGGAATACTAAGGATGCTGTAGGGCAAGAGCTATGGGAATCAGATATCCTCAGCCCCTCCTCTTCTTGGAGGCCCCTAAGCCCCAGGAACTTTACTGACGGAAGCAACAGCATAGAAAGAAAAAGACCCCTGGACTGGTCTGCAGTGCCAGTAGACAGCTGAGCAGCCCTGGGCCAGTCTCTGCCCATCTCAGTGTAGCCTCTTTCCCCAGGCGGGAAATGAAGTTCTAGCCTTACATAGGATAAGGAGGATAGAGCTGCCCTGTCGGCCCAGGCTGACTATGGGGCTCTGAGATATTGTAGGTGCTTTGACCACAGACTGTGTTTTCTGAGTGAGGAAAGGCCGAGTTCAAATCCTGCTTTGTCACAAACTGTGGCTGTGAGCCATGAGCCCATGAATGTGTAAGTTAGTCTTTCTGAACCTCAGCTTACTCATCTGTAAAATACAGGTCATAATAGAACCTCTCGTACATTCCTAGGGTGGATTCAATGAGCTGGTTCTGTATCTCACATAGCAAATGCTGGCCCTGTAAGAGCTCCTTTCTCTGTGCAGGAGAGTAGCTTAGCCAGGCTCTGCCCCACCTTAGTCCTGCACTTTCCCTGACTAAGGCCTACTGCTCAAATCATGGTGATAAGGAGGATTTGCCTTATCAGGCCCCAGATAGCAGCGGGGAAACAGGTGCCTGAGTGAAGCAAAGCCTTTCTGTTTTTCCTCTCCTTGGCCTTGTCCACCCCTGTCCCTAGCAACTGGGGAGCTCGGGGGACCTGCATTCAAACCCGGGTATTAGCAAACATGGTGATGTTGTAACTGGGGTAAGGTCACAGTACAACGTATGCTTGTTGGTGACTGTTACTGGGTTATGCATATACTATCCTATACTTTTCTTATTCTAGAGTATTCTACTTATTAAAAAAAAAAAGTTTAATGAGGTATGGTAGCACACACCTGTCATCCCAGCTCTTGGAAAGCAGAGACAGGAGGCTTGAGAGTTCCAGGCCAGTCTGAGCTGCAAAGTGAGACCCTGTTTCCAAAAAAAAGAAAAAGAAAAGGTTTATTGTGAATCAGTACACCATATCACACAGGCAGCAGCTTCCTTCATCTCATAATTAAGGCATCCCCAATGTGAGAGGCCATTTGGGGTGACTGGTTTATGTCACCTGGATGCTCTGTGATGTTCCCACAATGACAAAAATGCCTAGCAAACTAGTTCACAGAATATGCCTGTTGTAAGGGAGGCAGGGCTGTATAGGTTTGGTTGTGGCAGAGAGTGACTTGGAGGTGGTGGAGCAGGAGTGACCAGTGAGGTCACTTTCGAATGCCTTGGACAGGGTGGAGACCAAGGGATGTCTGCGAGCTTCGGCCGTCCACCTCCTAATTTTTCCCCCTGGATTTCTGAGTTGCATATACTGGCCTTGACATCTACTGCCAGAGGCAAACAGATGTAGCCTTTGTAAACACCTACCCTAGCATCTCCAGAGAGTGGAGAAAGGTAGCAAGCATGAGGTCCCAGGCCCTGGCTGTGGGGTCCTCAGGTGAGCAGATGGGGAGCCCCAGGTTGTGAGGGGAACCTGGGATGGACTCACGCCATGGACTGCGCCTCCTCCTGACACAGCGGAGGACTGAGAGCTGTGTAGGGTTTGCATCCCTGAGCCAGGCACCTCCCTGAGCTCAGGAGGTGGGCAGTGAGGAAACAGGTGAACTGATACTGACCCGGTCCCATGTGGATGAATGTGTGCTGGCTGCATGGATGCAGGAGTAAATGAAGGAGGAAAGCAGTCCTGCCTCCGGGGTCCTCAGAGATCCTCCCAGCGGCCGAGTCTTGTCAGTGACTAATCTGCCTTCCAAGCCAGTGGGGCCAGTGCTTGTACTAAATCAAAATGGCTCATGAACCAATCAACAAAAAAAGTTTTCCTGGAGTGCCCTGGTTACTTCTGACAACAGTTGTTTAAGGTTGAACTTTGAACTTGTCTCTGTTCCCCAAGCCACACTTGGTGGATGGACAGCTGGCCAGGGCCAGGAGACTTTCCAGGTACAGGGAAAGTCTTGAGAGCCTGTGATCCTGAGGTCACCGTGGACCGCTACTCTGTGGAAGGTGGAGGGAGGTCTGCAGATTTCTGTTTCTGGCTCTGCCTAGGAGGGAACCGGGAGGGAAAGGAGAGCTTATAGCTTCTGTCTTTTAAGTCGGGGCTAGAACACAGTGCCTTTTCCACCAGCCGTGGAGCACTGCTCCCACCGTGTGATCCTTGGGGGTCTCTGGGAACCTGTTTGCCTTTGAAAGCCTGGCCAGTGCTTTGATGCTCAGATTGCGGTGACCGTGCATGGCACATGGTGCTGTCACCATTCTTCAGGTGAGGAAACAGGCTCCAGAGCAGGTAATAGTGGGCTGAGACCCTGAGCAGGTGTGGGGGTTAGTACTGGATTTGTGTGTTTCTGGAGCCCCAGCTTTTCCTGGGACCCAGAGAGGGCCTGGGAGATAGTGTCCCACCTCCTGGCTGGCTAGGAGAGGAGATGGTGGTGTCCCGCTGCCCTGTATGGTGGATGTGGTGCTCGGAGGCCCAGAGCCCAGCTGGAACCTTGCCATGGCCCCAGGGGGTAGACACTGCCCGCCCTCCCTCCTTCCTGCTTCCTGAGGCTCTGTTGCAATTTGTGGCCGCCTCTCCGCTTTCTTCCCCAGTATCTCAGGTCCAAGGAGGCGTGTGGGCTTCCGTAGCTTTGTGTTTTAGCTGTGAAATCTTAGTAAGCTGGTGAGACGGGCCTCACATGGGGCGAATGACTTGCTCAGGGTCACAGTTAGTGGGAGGCAGGACTGGATTTGTGGCAGATCTGTCCCAGTCCCACTTTTCTTCTCAGGCTACGGGAAGGGTGGGGTTGAGGAATGTGGCTGGGCTTCTTTGGGTGTGGTAGTCTGGGAGGGAGAAGGTCCCACAGGCTCACCTCCCTCTTTGGGATCTTGGTTGGCGTTGACCCCCACAGGCCATTTTTGTTTTTCAGCTTCACAGGCTTCCTGTCCTGGCCTTGGCACTGCCCTGCTCTCTGCCTGGAATGCTTGCTCTTGCCCACCCTGGTTGAAGTAGCCCTCCTTCCCCTTACGTGCTGTTTTCAGGATCTCTTATGTAATTGTCCTGTGTGTTTGCTGACACAGCCCCCTGGAGGCTAGCTGCTGTCTTGGTCACTTGCTGACCACCAGGGTCTGGAATATATCGACGTTGCAGGAGGACTCAGGCAGCCTTGTAGAGTGAACACAGGGCCTGCCCGCCCCAGTGTCTCTGGCTTTGTGTCCTTCTTCCAGGCCTCCCAGAGTGGGTCTCTGGGCTCCCAGGCCTCTTCCCAGAAACAATGAAACAACTGTTGCCCCAGATTCCCATTGCCAGGCTTCTTTGCCCTGTTGGGCATAAGTGACCTCACAGAATGCCATCCTGAGAGTGTCACTCCGAGACCACGGCAAAATGAGGCACACAGAGCCCTCGTTATCATTTTGTCTAAGCGTGGGCAAAATCACAGTGGCATGACCACTGAGCCACCCAAGACACTGACTTGGTGACAGGTTGCTTCTATGTCAATCCTGGAGCTACCCCCACTTTGTGACAGTATCCAGCCCCAGAGCAAATCCCAGCTTCTTGAACACTCCCCCCACCCCAATCACCCAGCCAGAGCCCAAATCGTGTGATAGGTTTTTCCCAGCAAGTGACATCCTGCTGAACTGCTGATGGTCCCCACAACATGTGGTCCCTCCCAGGGGGACTATGTCTGGGTTTGTCTAGACTCAAGTTCAGTTTTCTCCTAATCTTGGGACTGGCTCAAATCATTCATTTTGAAACTGGAGTTTTGGACCCAAGGCCAAACTCCTGGGATTCCATATGCCAAGTCTGGCCACTCATTCCTAAACACCAAATAAAGAGGCATGGTGCCAGGTGCTGGTGGCTCACACCTATAATCCTAGCTAGTCAGGAGGCAAAGATCAGGAGGATTGAGGTTCAACACCAGCCCGAGCAAATAGTTTTTGAGACCCTATGTTGAAAAAAACTCACCACAAAAAAAGGGCTGGTGGAGTGGCTCAGGGTGAAGGCCCTGAATTCAAGCTCCAACACTGAAAAAAAAAAAAAAAGGCATGGTGAAGGCAGAGAAGGGGGATTTATTACACAGCTTGGGACTTGCCATGGGAAGAGGCAGAGTCAGCACTCAGCTCATCCTCAGCCATCTTCAGGATACAGACATGAGCTGTAGGTTTAAACAGACAAAAGAACAGGTGACAGGAGACAAGAAGTATGCATAGGCAAACAGTTCAATCACACGCGTGGCCTGTTTGGTCATTATCTCAGTCCTTGTTTTGGGAGAGGTTCCTGCAGGGTGTTTCATCCTGAGGAAGCTCTATTGTTGGTGGTAGTTTCTGTCCCTTGTCATGAAGATGTTATCATCTGTCTTTCTTGGAATCCAAGGTGATTGCAAGGTGACTGCAAAGAGAATGGCTTAGAGCAAAGACAGATTCAAAATGGAGGCAGGGATGTCAGGCTTTTCTCCTGCTTTTAGTTAATTCGTGGGCCCAAGAAGGAGTCAGTGTTTTTTTTAGTAAAAGCAGTTTGAGCACCTCTTGCTCAAATTTTCCTTTTAGGACCTTATTTCTGTTAGGGACTGCTAGGGAAGCCATCTAGGCCCTGTGTGTTCTAGGTGTGCTTTGCAGAGGAGGAACCTGAAGCCTGGAGGGGAAGTCCTGTGGCTGGGAAGTAGCAGACCTGGGTCTCCAGCTCCAAAATGACTGAGCCCCGAGGCTTTGCTCTGACCCCTCCCCGCACACAAAGGACGCGGAGGTCACTAGTCAGCGAGGTTGGTCCTAGAGTCAGCAAGGAATTTTTGACACTTAGTCTGCTGGAATCAGGCACTGAGCCCCCAAACCAGCCCTCCTTGACACTGAACGGACTCAGGGCGTCCTCCAGGTTTATAGTCCACATCTTGGACTTCCTTGCCCACCTGGAGGGCTCGGCTCTGTGCCAAGGAAGTCTCAGCCTTTTCACATTCTGAGACTCAGCTCTGGAATGTGCTGCCTTTTCAGCCTAGAGAAAGAGAGGATGGCATTGTGGGAACTGCAGAGAGAGTAACCCTTTGCCCTCTGCCTGTGCAAAACACCCAAACACCACCTTGCAGCTATGCATTTGAACTTCACTTCATGTGAGTTGGGTGGGATTGTGCTCACTTAGTAACTAGCTATAGAAGTAGGTCCTGAGAAGGCAAGTCACACACCAGAGAACACACAGTGGTGGAGGACACACAGTGGCAGGACTAGGACTTTCTGGGGCTTGGTCCCCAAGGTCAGTTCTATTCACTAGACCCTATACTTGCTTTGGATTTCAAACTTCTGGGCCAGGTAGGACCCCAGGTAGGAGACAGAGGGACTTGGGGCTGGCAGTAACAGCTGCTGATTTTTCTGCCTCTGTTCTGCCCTTATTCCCAGGCTGCGGCAGAAGCATGCCTCCTCCTTGAAGGTGGCCAATGAGCCCATCCTAGGATTCACGCAGGGCAGCCCTGAGCGAGATGCGCTGCAGAAGGTAATAGGGTGGGAGCTTCCAGAGGGTGCAGGGCCTAGGGCCTGAGGCTGCCCCCAGTGGCTTCCAGATGGCCACACCTGGATCCATTGCCTTCCCGCCCCTGGGAAGGTCTCGTGGGACTGGAGGCAGTTGAAGCTGAGCAGCAAGTGTCAGCTGGGGCCCTCTTGTGGCTTGTAAGGCTAGGACAGAGGTCATGCACCCAAATGCTTTATGCTAAAGACATATTCCAGTTTGCCATCAGAGTTTTAAAAATCATAAGACTTCACATACATTTCAGATGCAGGTTTTTATGTTTGGGATGGAAAGATCTGGTGACAGTGGCCTCTCACTTTCCTGCAGGGTAACTATGGCTAGAGCAGGGTCCTGCTGCCCTTGAAGGGTACACATGCTCTCTGACCCCAGTCCCAGCCTAGTCCCCTTCTCACTATGTTCCCACTTGGACTGCTGCTTGCAGACTTCTCTGACCCCAGTCCCAGCCTAGTCCCCTTCTCACTATGTTCCCACTTGGACTGCTGCTTGCAGACTCCACCTCAGGGTTCTAGGCAGGAGGAAGAGAGGCCAGAAGTGCCCATCCACACTCTTGTCCCTCTCCCTAGGCCTTAAAGGACCTGAAGGACCAGACAGAAGCCATCCCATGCGTGGTGGGGGATGAGGAGATGTGGACATCAGATGTGCAGTACCAGGTGTCGGTAGGTCTGGAACAGCAGGGGCTTGGCCTCTCCCCATATCTGACAGCTCACAGCAGAGCCTGTGTCGCTGTCTTTGTGGTGGTTGTCCTCATCCAGATTTGGAATGCTGTTCACTATAAAATTTCCAGAAGCAAGGGGCAATGTGCCTAGCTCGCACTTGAATCTTGTCCCCAGCAAGAAAGCCCAGGAGGGGTGTACACATCATCTCCCCTTTTCCCTGGTGGGTCTTCACTTCTGGAGGGCTGATGGGAATTTGGAAACTGAGGGCAGAAAGCTGGGTGTCAAGCCCCCGCACTCAGAGGTTATCTTTCCACAGGCTGGCAGGTACTTCAGGTGGACCAGGAGACTCCCAGGTCTCTAATTTGGGGAGAGTAAAAGCTTGACCCTTTTGCAAATGATTCCGTCCATGTGGAATCCTGGATGTGTGAATCCTGGACCTAGTTCAGAAGAGCTTCCCCTCATAATCCCATTTGGTCCCATGCCGTAGACCAAACATACCCATGTCCCAGGCCAGAAGCCTTGGAGAGGGGAAGTAAGTTGACACAGGCCCAGCCAGAACCAGCAGGCAGCAGAGTGGTATTCGGGTGTGTCTGTCTGACCATAGAGGCCACGCTTTCCCTGATAGGCCCTGTGGTCTATGGTCCCTGCCTTCTGGGCTATGAACCCACTCTTCTTTCTTGTTTCAGCCCTTTAACCATGGACACAAAGTAGCCAAGTTCTGTTATGCAGACAAGGTGAGTCTCTGGTGATCTTGGGGCTGGGGTTGGTGGCCCTGCCCTGCCAGTCACTGATGTGGGATACACTTCAGTTGCTGCCCCTCCCTCTGGCCCTGGGAGTGGGTAGGGGGCAACTGGTGCTGACTTTGTCTCTAGGCGGGGTCCGTGACAGGGCCAGGCATGCACAGGTTAACTTATGCCAAATGGCGAGCTGCCTTGGCCAGGGCTGGGACATCTCCAGACATGCCTAGTGCAGTGGGGCCGACCTTGATTTGGGGAGGAAGAAAATTCTGGAAGGCTGAGTCAGGGCAATTGGAGACATAGAGGGAAAGCCAGGTAGAGATTGGCTTTTAGGGAGGGCCTGAGGCTCCGAAGAGGTAGGGTGGTCTGTGGGAGGGATTTGGGAGCTGCATGGTAGGAACTGGGATGCTCGCAGCAAGCAGGGTCTCAGGCCACAGTACTGCCCTTGGGGTTGGAGCCTCAGGACAGTGGGAACATGGACCACAGGGCCCAGGAATAAGGTGAGCCCCTGATTAGACCGTGAGAGAAGTGGAGAGGGTTAACAGAGAGGGACTTGGTCCCGCTTGGCACACCAGCCAACCTGGAAGATCCTTCAGACCTCAGACTGACAGCAGGACAGGTTCTGAGTGTGCTGTTGTCAACCAGTGACGGATGGACTGTACAGCTCTGGGGACAGGTTGGGGGGCAGGGAAGCCTTTCCCATCTCTCCTCCCTCCCCTGATACCCTTCCTGCCATGGGCTGCAGCCCTGACCTTTGCCTCTTTCGTCAGGCCTTGATCAACAAAGCCATTGAGGCCGCCTTGGCTGCCAGGAAAGAATGGGACCTGAGGCCTGTCGCAGACCGGGCCCAGATCTTTCTGAAGGCGGCAGATATGCTGAGTGGGCCAAGAAGGGCTGAGATTCTTGCCAAGACCATGGTGGGACAGGTAAGGTGCCGAGGGCCCAGTTTTGCAGTAAGGTGGGAGGCAGTCTTGCCCCATCCCTTTTATCAGACATCAGCTTTGGGTGCCAGGTGCTATTGGACACCTGGAGGGACAGGGCCTGGGAGCCAGGGCAGAGGAACAGAAATTCTCAGACATGGCTAAGCCCATGTGTACTATGGTCCTGTTTCCTCCCCTGTATCTCCTCTGGCCCTGCCCTGGACCAAGTCTTTGTCAAGCTTTGCCTGGACAGTTGTCCTGCACAGTCTCCCTGCCTCCCAAATCTGTCAGCCCTCTGCAGGCCTCAGAGTGGTCCTTCCGATGCCTGGCAGGTCACTCCTCTTTATCACTGGAGGTGATTCCCAGGTCCTCACCTCGCACCTAGGGCTCTCCTCCCAACCTTCTGGCCAGCATCTCAACCATTCTGTTCTGCCCATAATATACCCAATTTGGACTTAGGAAGGTTCCCTGCACTCCACAGGTACCCTTTCTGTCTCTGCCTGGAGTCCCCTGTCTAGAACACATCTGACTGTCCAGCCCAGCCCACGCCCTCCTCCATGAGGCTTCCTGACCTTCCCAGCCCCACCGTGTTGGTTCCACTCTGTTCTCCCAGAGTACTCTGTTCCTTCATCAGTTACAGCTCTGTGGCAGGGATGTATTGAATTCTTATGTATTCACTGCTCAAAGAAACCAGTTCATGATGTTTTCAGTCTTTGGTTTCTGCATGATGACTTCAGGGAGTCATAGAAAATTCCTGATAAATGGGTTTTGAGCTACTGCCGAGGAAGGAGTTGAAGGAGAAAGGGTCGAATTTGCCATCTTCAGGAGCTTAGCTTAGGGTGCTGATTCCCTGGCTTTCTGAAAATTATAGAAACCATAATCCTGGCTGCCTGTTGGGTCTGACCATTTGCTCATTTGCTCCTATGGTGAGGGCGCCCTTTGCTGCACAGAGGTGGGATGACAGCTCCATACCTTGTGTGTTGTCTTTTCTGGGTTTGGATACACACACACACACACACACACACACACACACACACACACACACACGAGAAACACTGGGGTCTCTCAACGTGCATATTTACTAGTGACCACGTGTGCCAAAGAAGAACCCTTCCCATCTGGAAAAGAATCATTGTCGTAGGTCTCCTGGTTCTTGGCCCGAACTAACTAGTGAGGTGCATGCTCACCCGAGGAAGGAGCCATCTGTGTCCCACACACCTTGACTCTGCCCTGGTTTTCCAGACAGTCCCCTGCTCATGCTGGTGTGCCCCTTTGTCTAGAAGGTTCTGTCCTTAGTTTGGTCTGAGGATTGTGATTGTAGATCCATTCCAGTGTATTACTGATCAGAGTGGCTGTGACATGAAGATGTGAACCGCCTGGCCCCAGCAGGGGGCCAGTAAGTGTTTAACTGATCCTGAACCCTACCAGAAGGTGTCAGGCCACCTGAGGGAGGAGGTTCTGGTGCTGAGATCACAGTCCTTTCTCTCCTCAGTCCCAGAGACAGTCCTGGTCTGCCCACTGGAGGCTTCCCATCCCCACTGGGGCCTGGCTCTGTGCTTCCTGTGGGAAAAGGGGCCACACGTTGCCTCTGCTGCCACTGAGCCTGGCCCACCTGCTCTGCAGGGTAAGACGGTGATCCAAGCAGAGATCGACGCTGCAGCTGAGCTCATTGACTTCTTCCGATTCAATGCCAAGTTTGCCATGGAGCTGGAGGGGGAGCAGCCCATCAGTGTGCCGCCCAGCACCAACAGTGTGGTCTACCGAGGGCTGGAGGTACCCACAGGGGGCAGACTGCAGGGGCTGCTGGAAGCCTCAAGCCAGGCCTTACTGCCTCTTTCTTCCTCAGGGCTTCGTAGCGGCCATCTCCCCCTTCAACTTCACTGCGATTGGTGGCAACCTGGCAGGAGCACCAGCTTTGATGGTGAGAACAGCGGCAGCTAGCCACATCCCTGGTTCCAACGGATAAAGGCCACACTGAGCCCTCTCTAGTACTAGTCATGGGAGAGGCACAGATGATGAGGCAGCTGGGACTGTGGATGGACGTTGGGTTCCAACACCTGGTTCAGATCCCAGCCTTTTCTCTCTGTGGGAGACCCAGGCAGGCCTTGAGGTCTGAGACACAATTTTCTCCTCTGCCAAGTGGAAGCAACAGAGAGGCCCACATTATAGGATGTGAGGATTGAATGAGACACGCTGCATACCAGGCAGGTCTGGCCAAGAATGGACCGTGGGTCCATGGCTATTGATAGTGGTGGTGATCAGTCACTCACCTGAAGTGGCCACTGTGTGCAGCTGCTGTGAATGTTGTGGCAGATGACCTGGTTTACTTCTCTCACTGGCTCCAAGAGGGAGGCTGCCTTTATGCCTCTTTGTGAGGTGACAGTCTGAGACATGCTGTGGTGACTTACTTGTCAAGGCTGCACAGCTAGGAAGCAATTAAACAGAGAGGGATTTGGACATTGTCTCAGAATGTGGTCTGAAAGTCACGGGGCTCCTCCTCCATTATCAGAGTGAAGGTGGTTGTCCCTGTATGATGAGCTCACGGTCTGATGGGGGAGGCGCAGGCCAGCCCTCAGAATGCCCGGGCAGGAGGAGAGCAGGCATTGTCGGGAGGCCTGGGCCCTAGTGGGTCAGCTGACTGTGATGCCCATGTGTGCACTGTGTGCTTGCCCAGGGACATCCTGTGTACCTGCAGACAGGGCACACACCACAGTACCCACATGTCCGTGATGCTGCACCATGCCCTGACCCAGGCATAGACAGGACCCAGGAGCCCAGCCATGCTCGGGGAGCACCCAGAAGCTCTGAGAACAGAGCTGCCTGGGGTGGGAGCAGGATGGCTAGTGTGGGCTTCCCCATATAGGGAGCCCTGGCCAGAACAGGGGATGGGTGGACAGGCCAGGCTGGGACCTCACTGGCAAGGGCTTCTGAGGCACTGTGAGATGTGGAGGAGTGCGGTCACATGGGGGACTCCTGCAGCACAGGGGCCTGGTAGCTCCAGATGAGACACGACTGTCCTGTGGGTTGGGGTGGGATAGGAGCAGGGCTGGTGGCTCTGGCCTTGTGAGTCATCGTCTGCTCTGCCAATAGGGCAATGTGGTCCTGTGGAAGCCCAGTGACACGGCCATGCTGGCCAGCTATGCTGTCTACCGAATCTTGCGGGAGGCCGGCCTACCCCCCAACATCATCCAGTTTGTGCCAGCTGACGGGCCTGTATTTGGGGACACGGTCACCAGCTCAGAGCATCTCTGCGGCCTCAACTTCACAGGCAGTGTGCCGTGAGTCCCTGGGGCGGGGCAGAGTGTGGCAGGGCATGGTGGGGCAGGTTGTGGCAGTGGAGGGGAAGTTCACCAGGCAGCCGTCTCATCACCTGCCCAGGGACTGGGACTGTGAATCCAGAAGTCACACACTGACTGCTGACCGTATCACCTCCTTGCTGTGTGGCCATAGGCGAGCCACTTCACCTCTCTCATCTTTGTTTCTTCACCTGCCCATTGGGAGCAGTGAGCCCTACCTTACCAAGTATTTGCAAGGATTGAACAAGGGAAGAGCTGTGTGGGCTGGAAGTGTTCTGTGGTTGTTGGGTCATCTTATCACTGGCAAGGGCGGGAAGGAGCTGAGATTGGAGGAGGTTGGCAGGCTTCCTGGAGGGCAGCATGGCGCGGAGGCTGAGGTGGGTGGGTGTTCACCATTCCGGTTCCTGCTGTACAGGAACTTAGCTCCTGCTAAGGCTGGGAATGAGTGAACACCAAGGTTAAGGTCCTCACTCCCTGTCCCTCCTCTCTTTATACCCCTCTCAGTGACTTTAGGACCCTATGAGTCTGCAGCGGTGTCTGGACTTTATTCTTAAGGTGGTGGGAGCCACAGAAGGAAGCAGAAGTGGAATAAGCAGTGGCTTATTCAGTGGCCTTGAATCTGACCTGCCAAGAGTCTGTCTTCTTTGACTCCTGGTTGTGGTGGCCTAGCCTTGTATAATTGGGACAGTTCCATTCAAAAATGGAAACGTTGGCTTCTCTCGAGAGCCTGCACATTCTGATCCCATGCTCCTGTTGGCGGGAGGTGGGCAGCACCCTCTCTGGTCCCGCATAGTCAATCTGGTCTGCTCTATTACTGGCCCTGCCAGGGACCTGTGTTTGTACCTTTTGTCCTGGTTGATGGCTTTGGCTGCTGTCTGGAGGAGCCTCCGTGGCCAGAGGCTGGTCGGGAGGGGTGATGGCCTCGAGTTGGAGTGGAGACCGTAGGGCACAGAGTGGTGTGCAGAAGTGGGAATGTGGCAGGGAAATGCAGTGGGCAGCGCCTGTCGTGAGGCTGGGGTGTCCAGGAGGTGATCAGCAAAAGTGCAGGCTTTGGGGGAAGGGTGTCCCTCCCAGGAGTGAGTAGGCTTGGAAGAAGATGGATCACCCAGTCTTTGGTCACTTTGGCCTTAGGTCATCTGGGTGGAAGTGTCTGGGGTCAGCCAGATGTCCAGGTCTTCAGCTGGGGTGGGGAGGGTTCTTCCCAGGAATATGGGCAGTGGCTTCTTTTCTCCTCTGGCCTTAGAGTCTGTAGCCCCCTTCCCTGTCTATGGTTTGGGGTTGGGCCTGGAGGTGCAACGGCACCGTTAGAATTGCTGAGGAGGGCCATTTTCCAAAAGGCCGGCTCTGCCAGTTGGGCCCTGGGTCCCTGCCTGTTAGCGGGCGGAGCGGGCCTAGCTCACATTCGCCACGCTCGGATGAGCACCGGGCTTAAGGTAGGAAAGTCATAAATTAGTATTAGCTTCTGTGAAGCCGCTCTGGGGTGATTAGCATTTTTATTGTTTTGTGGTGCTGAGGTTGGTCACAGTCCCAGCCAGGGGAGGAGGCAGGGCCTCCTGGGTGGCAGCTTGAGGCAGGGCCCTGAGCTCTCTTCCCCAGCCCTTCCTTGGTTTGGCCTTGGACACAGGCACTGGGCTGGGGATGCCCCTTGCAGCCACGAGAGTGTGGGTGCCCGTTCTGTGCCCTGCAGGTCCGAAGCGCTTGACTCGAATTGGCGCTAATCATAGAACAGCCCAGCTGTGCGGGGCTTGTAGGCTTGTTCTCTAGTTCCTGGGTGAGGTGCTGATTTTGAGGCTCAGAGAGGTTAAGTGAATGAACCCTGCATGTCTAAGCCGGGACTGGGGCCCAGGACCTTCTGTTGTCATAACTGGACCTTCTCCTCCCCGCCTTCTGAGCTGTCACCACCTACTTGGCTCCCTACCACCACCATGACCCTGCCCAGCTCCTGCTGGGCTGCCAGCCCTTGCACTCTTCCCAGGCTTTTCAGCCCCTTCCTCTGGTAGGGCTGTTCCCCAAGCCGGAGACCCTCACCCTCCCAGATGCTGAACCCTGCTCCCTGACACCTGCTCTGTTCTCTGGTTCCAGCACTTTCAAACACCTATGGAAGCAGGTGGCCCAGAACATAGACCGGTTCCGTACCTTCCCACGCTTGGCTGGAGGTGAGAGCCCCGCCAGGCTCCTGGCTGTGGGGAGAAAGGAGGAGGTGGAGTGGCCATGGGTGAGGCGGGGCGGGGGTGCGGTAATGGGTGCTGTCTGTCTGCCTCAGTACGGTAGCCACGAGCTGCACGTGGCCACTGAGCACTTGAAGTGTCGCTTGAGTGATGAGGGGTCAGATGTTTTGTCTTCAGTCTTATGTTAAGTGTCAGTAGCCACGTGCAGCTGGTGGCAGGTCTGAATAGAGAAAGTGCAACTGCACAGGCTGTTAGGAAGGAGCTTGTATCTGAAGGAATGAAACAAGGAGGGGCTGGAGGACAGTGGGGCCTAATCTTGTCCTGCTGATAACTACCCGCAGAGAAAGTTTTATGGGCAAGGAAACCAAAGCCAAACAGATTCTTCTGCAGGACTTCAGAGCCTTCAATGCTCTGATTATACATTGCCCTCTTCAAGGGAAAGGTCAGCCATGCAGTGCTTCCCAGGCTCATTAGGCTACAGGGCCCCGTTTTGTAAAGGCCCTGTGGACCACGCATTTGTGGCACACACTTTGGGACAGTGCCGAGACCGAGGGGGCAGAGGTGGGGTGTCCTTGGTCCCTAGGGCGAGGTGGGGTGCATAGGGAGTCTGCACCCCATTCCCGAGCTGGCAGGAGGTTGGATGGGTATAAGGGAAGGAGGCTCCCCTCAGCTTTTGTGTTCAGTGTTTCATCCCCTCCTTCGTGACATTGATACTGAGCGCCTGCAGGGGGGTGGGCTTTCTGCTCTCAGAGCCTCCCTGTCTCCTACCACCTTCCTGATGAGAGAGGCCTCTGTTCACCACGACCCACCCGGAGCCCATCTTCATCTCAGTTTTGTTGTCTTTATGGGAATAAAAATGGAGGTGGTTGCGAGTCATCAGGGGATACAGCAGCAAGTCTCTCTGGAGCCTGACAGGTGGCAAGTGCTATCAGCTACTGTTAGCTGGTGTTTCTGAGTGGGGAAACCGAGGCTGGAGGGTGCAGAGACCTACCTGGAGCACACTGCACTAAGGAATTGGGCCAGGCTTACACTGCATAGGAGGGAGGAGCAGAGGGGTTGGACTCTCCTCTTCCTCACTAGATGGCCTCAAGGAAACTCTGCCCTCTTCTGTGGAGGGGCCAGCTCCTGGGAACCTTGGATCCGTTCTTTCCTCTGCTTGTACGTTGGGTGTCTCATTTTCCCCATCTGTGTGATGGGGGAGTGGGAGCAGATGACCTCTGGTGTCCGTCACCCTTCCCTGGCTCTCAGTTTCCTCATTGGTAGATAAGGCTGGCGTTGGTCACTGGCCTGTGGGCAGTGGCTTGAGCTGCAGGGCAGCCAGGGGATCCCTCAGTCACGTTCTCACCCCCATCCCCTTGTAGAGTGTGGTGGGAAGAACTTCCACTTCGTGCACCACTCTGCGGACGTGGACAGCGTAGTGAGCGGGACCCTGCGCTCAGCCTTTGAGTATGGTGGCCAGAAGTGCTCAGCCTGCTCTCGTCTCTACGTGCCACACTCGCTGTGGCCACAGATCAAAGGGCGGCTCCTGGAGGAGCATGGCAGGATCAAAGTGGGCGATGTGAGTGGCCTTACAGCCTCGGCCCAGCGGGTGGCTGATGGGATTGGGCAGCCCCCCCAGCCTCTGCTTCTGAGTGCAGGTCCCCAGGCTCTGTAGGTGGGGTGGGTGCATGGGGAGGGGACTGTCTTGTCTCATCTCTCCTGGGCTTGACCGCCTCCTCCCCCATGCTTTGCCTCCAGCCGGCAGAGGACTTTGGGACCTTCTTCTCTGCAGTGATTGATGCAAAGGTGAGGGTGTGGGCATTCCTGGGGGGCTGGTCCCTGGGCTAGGAGAGAGAAGAAGAGATGTGGAGCTCTGATTTGGGTGACTCGGCCCTGCTGCTCTGAACTAGGCAGTTCTGTAGCTACACACACCTCCCCTGCCTTGGAAAGGCAGAATTGTCCATAACCAGCAAGAGCTGCTCTTCCACACACCTGGATCCAGGCTCAGCAAGCCCCGAAGTGCATGTGTGCACACATAACACTTAGGTAGAGCAGGCCCAGCATCCCTGTGTGCGTAGGCATGCATATCTGCACAACCAGACACCTATGTTGCTTAAGTGTGAAGACGCGTGGCTGTGTGTATTCCTATATGTATGTTTAGCTCTGCGAGTGCGAGTGTTTGTATGTTAGTACCTCTGCAGTTCTACCATGTGCATACAGCCATACACACACACACACACACACACACACACACACACACACACACACACACACACACACACACACTCACGTCATCCCTAGTCTCTGCTGTGGCTCAGCAGGCCCTGGCTTTTGCCCTCGGTGTTTCCCTACCCTGCCCTCTTTTCCAGAATTTGGGCCCTTCTGGTAGAGGTGTTTTGGAGTGAGTGTTGGGAGCTGCTGCTGACCGTGACCCCCAGGCCTGTCTTTGACCTTCCCCTCCCTCCTCGCCTGCCCCAGTCCTTTGCCCGCATCAAAAAGTGGCTGGAGCATGCAGGCTCCTCACCCAGCCTCACCATCCTGGCCGGGGGCAAGTGTGACGACTCCGTGGGTTACTTCGTGGAACCCTGCATCGTTGAAAGCAAGGACCCACAGGATCCCATCATGAAGGAGGTGACAGGGCGGGCAGCCTGGGCCGGGGCACAGCACACACAGGGCTCTTGCATGCGCTTTCTTCCCGAGTCATCTATTTCACAGATGAGGGGACCCTAAATGGAGTGTCTTATGGCTGCAGAGAACACAGCAGGCCCCCAAATCCAGTGCTTTCACCACTGGCATGGACCATGTCCCAACACTCCTACCGCTGCACCCACCAGGGCCACCTTTGTGGCAGCTGATGTGTACCAACACTCACTGCTGGGCAGCCATTGCTGATCCTGGCTGAGGGAGGGTGATGTCACCATTCCCATCTTAAAGAGGGGAGACCAAGGCTCTAAGAAGTTGAGGCACTTGTCCAGGGTACTGCAGCAGGACTGGAGTTCTTGGTGGCAGAGGGACCCTGAGGAGGGAGTGGTTTTGTCAGACAGCACTCAGCACTAGCTGTGACAGGAGCCTTCTGTCTCCTTAGGCCTAGCCCTGGCCCAGTTGCTGTCCAGGTGAGGGTTTGGCATGGAGGCCAGAAAGTTTAGATCTTATGTAGCATGGGAGTAGAGTGGGTAGGGCAGAAAACTGGGCATATTGCTGCCCTGAGGGAACCAGGAGGAAGCAGTCTGGCCCTTCATGCAGGGTCGAGGTGTGGAGACTGGGAGGCCTGACCCAGCCTCTTTTTCAGGAGATCTTCGGGCCTGTGCTGACTGTGTATGTCTACCCTGATGACAAGTACAAGGAAACCCTGCAGCTAGTTGACAACACCACCAGCTACGGCCTCACGGGGGCAGTGTTTGCCCAGGATAAGTGAGCGGCCCAGCCTGGGGAACACTCTTCCTGTCCTATCCCTGCTTACTCTTCCAGCCTTTCCTTCTGTCCCCTCCGCAAAGCCGGGAGAGGCAGGCAGATAGCCCAGCACAGGTAGCACAGGCAGCTGGGCTCTTTGTTACAAATACGGATGACAGCCCTCCTGGTGACCACCATGACTAAATCTCTAGGAACCAGGCCTAGGGAGTATGTGACCGGCTCCCCTGGACCTGATTGGCCTCCTCTGAGCAAAGTGACCGGCCTGTGGTGCAGAGCAGGAACAAGGCGTGGGGGCCAGGGCTCACTATATGTGTGTGGAGACAGTTCTCACTGGGTCCGGGCCACTATCCCCAAGGGTTTTCTGTCCCCCTCAGCACAGAAGCTGCTGTGTCTTCCTTGAGAGGATGGGGGTGGGATTGGAACCCTGGAGGAAGGGTGGGGTCTGGGAGGCCCCCAGCTCCCAAAAGATAAGAAAATTGGATTAGGCCAGGCCACTGGCTCTGGGGCTTCCTGAACTTCTGTTCTCCCGTTCCACCTCTGCATCTGCCCTGTGAGGGAGGTGGCTTCACTCCCTTCCCAGAGAGGAAACAGAGCCTCAGAGACCCTCTGTTCTCTGCAGGGGCTACTGCTAGCAATTGACCAGTGCCATGTGTTCTAGGAGTGGCCTCAAGCTTAGCTGGGAAACCAGTGCAGGCTGGGCAGAGAGCTGAGGTGGGATCTGGGGCTAGAGGGGCAGATGGGCTGGGCGCCCCCTTACCACTGCCCTGCCCCATAGGAACGTCATCCAAGAGGCCACAAAAATGCTGAGGAATGCTGCCGGCAACTTCTACATCAACGACAAGTCCACTGGCTCAGTGGTGGGCCAGCAGCCCTTTGGGGGCTCCCGGGCCTCTGGTGAGTGTGTTCTTTTCCCAGAAGGGAGCTGAGTGGGAGGCCTAGATTCTTTCTGTTCAGGGTGTTAGAGAAGCAGGAATAGCACACTGTGGACCAGATGAACAGGCAGACCCTTTCCCCAGCTTCAGGAGTCTCCTCTTCCCGTCTTACGTAGGAGGAAACAGGTGTGGGGTTGAGGTTTTGGCACCTGCACCCGTGCTTCCTAGCACCACACTTGAGATCACTTAAGTCCAATGATCTCCACTTCACAAAAGGGGAAACTGAGGCTTAGAAGGGGTGATTACTTGCCAGAGGCTGCTGTTCCCTGTGGCAGGGCCAGTGCTGAGCCAAGCGGTGTGGGGTTTTTCACCCCAGCCAGGTGTCTGACTCGGCAGACACTGCCAGGGTCCTGCGGCTCAGCTCAGCTCTGCTCTGATGCTGACTGCAGGTCGCACAGACCCCGTGGGTTAGGGCTCAGTCTCACAAGATGTCCTCACTGCAGACGCCAGTCGCAAGGTGGGTTCCATGTCAACCAGATTCCCACAACCACATCCTCAGGTCTCTGATTTGCTGGAACCCAGGAACGTTCGCTTAGTCTTACCAACTTATTACAAAGAATATGTTTTTGTATTGTTAATAATTTATTTTTCTTTTAAGTTAAATTTATTTTTAATTGGTGGAGACATAAACTCATACGTGTGAGTGGGTCGAGATACACGTACAGGTCGCATAATGCTCAAGTTGGGTTAAACAGTGTCTCCCCAAACATTGATCATTTCTTTAAGGTGAAGACACTGGAGTCCTTTCTTGTAGCTTTTAGAAAAACGCAGTGTATAACTGTCGTCTCCAGTCACTCTACTGTGCAGTAGCATGCTAGACCCTCTTGCTCCTGTCTGAGTGTAACTCAGTGCCCACCCCCTGTCCTGAGCCTCTAGTAACTGCCACTCTACTCTCAACTGCCACAAGATCAATTTTGTAGATTCTGCAGGTGAGGAAGATGCTGCAGCACTTGTTTTTCCGTGCCTGGTTCATTTCACTTAATGATTTCATCTTCATCTGTGTTGCAGGAAAAGACAAGATTTCATTCTTTTTTATGGCTGAATAGTATTCCATTGTCTGTATGCGCTACAATAGCTTTTTAATTCTTTGAGAAAACCTCTTTCTTATTTTCCATAATGGCTGTAGTAATATACATCTTCATCAACAGTATAAAGGGTTTCCTTTCCTCCACATCCTCGCTAGCAAGGATGTTATATTTGGTCTTTTGTTTTGTTTTTGATGGTACTGGGCTTTGAGCTCAGGGCCTCACGCTTACTAAGCAGGTGCTCTACCACTTGAGCCATTCTGCCAGCCCTTTTTTGTGAAGGGTTTGTGAAGGGTTTTTTTGAGATAGGGTCTCACCAACTATTGCCCAGGCATGAGCTGCCAGCGCCTGGCTTCTTTTGTCTTCTTGGTAACAGCCATTCTGACTGGAGTGAGTGATGCCTCGTGTGGCTTTAATTTGCACTTCCCTGAGGACTCTCGATCTGGAGCATTCTTCATGCATTTGTTGCTCTTTTGCACATCTTTTGAGAAATGCCTTTTTAGGTTCATTGCCCATTTTTAAATTGGTTATTTGTTTTTTGCCATTGGGTGGTGGTTTGAGTTCCTTATGTAACTCTTGTCAGATGGACACTTTGCGAGTGTTTTTTCCTGTTCTCTGGCTGTCTTTTCACTCTGGTGATTGTTTCCTCTGCTATGCAGAAGCTTTTGACTCTGATGTAATCCCATTTGTCTATTTTTTTCCTTTAGTTTCCTGTGCTTTTGGGGTCTTATCCAAAAAATGCAGTCCATTGCAACGTCTGGAATCATTTCCCCTGATTTCTTAGTAGTTGGCTTCACGATTAGAGGTCTTAAATAGAAGTCTTTAATCCAGTTAGAGTTGATTTTTGTAACAGGTGAGAGGTGGGGTGTAATTTCATTCTTCTGCACCATTTGTTGGAAAAAACTGTATGTGTGTCTCCAATGCGTGTTCATAGCATCCTTGTAAAAAAAAATCTGTTGGCTGTAGATGTATGGCTTTACTTCTGGGTTTTCTATTCTGTCGCATTGGTGTGTGTGTCTGTTCTTATACTAAAACCTTGTTTGGATTACAATAGCTTTGTAGTAATAATATTTGAAGTCAGGTAAATGTAATGCCTCCTTTTCCCCTCTAAGATTACTGTGGTTATTGTGTGTGATTGTGTGTGTGTGGTTCCATGCAAATTTTAGGCTTTTTCTCTTGTTCTCTGAATCGTGTCATTGGTGTTTTGACAGGCACTGCACTGTATCTGTTGATTGCACTAGGCAGTGTGGACATTACAACAATGTTCAGTCTTCCAATTCATGGACAAGGGATGTCTTTCTATATTTTGTGTCCTTTTCACTTTCTTTCAGATGTTGTGTGGTTTTCATTGTAGAGATATTGGCTAAATCCTGTGTTAATTTATTTTCAGGTGCTTGTGTATCTGTTGTAAATGAGATTCCTTTCTTGAGTTCTGTTTCAGATAATTAGCTATTGGTGTGTAGCAGTGCTACTGTTTTTTGTTTTTGTTTTTGGTACTACTGGGTTTGAACTCAGGGCCTCACAATTGCTCTTACTGCTTGATTAAGCTCTTACTGCTTAATTTTTCCCCCCTTTGGGGTTTCCTATATATGAGATCATGTCATCTGCAAAACAGTAACCATTTGACTTCCTCTTCCAGTTGATGGCCTTTCTTACTGTTGCCCAATTGCTCTGGCTAGGACTTTCAGTTCAGTGTTGAATAAAAATGGTGAAAGTGAGCATCTATCTCATTCCAGAGCTTAGAGAAAAAGCCTCCAGCTTTTCCTCATTCACTATGATGTCAGCTGTTGACTTACTATAAATGACCTTGAGCTACTTTGCTTTGATTTTTTTTTTTTTTTTTTTTTTTTGGTACTTAAGATTCCTGAGGCCTCACACTTGCTAGGCAAGCTCTCTATTACTTGAGCTATGCCATCATCCCTAGTATGCTGAATTTTATTAAATGCCTTTCTTGCACCTGCTGAGGTGATTGTATGGCTTTTGTCCTTCCTTCTCTTGATGCATTCTATCTCATTTATCATTTGTCTATGTTGAGCCATCCTTGCATCCCTGGGATGAATCTACTCATTCATGGTGAATAATCTCACTGATTCAGTTCACTAGGGTTTTGTTGAGGATTTTTGCACCTGTGCTCATCCAGGATATTGGTTTTTAGCTTCGTTTGCCGTGTCCTTATCTGGTTTTGTCCTCGGAGAATGCATTTGGAGGAATTCTCTTCAGTGTTTTGGAATAGGCTAAGAAGAATCAGTATTAACTCAGTCTTTGCTGGAGCTCAGCTCTCCGGTCCTGGGCTGCTCTTTCTTGGGAGACATTTCATTCCGGATTCTACTTCATTTCTTGTTATTGGTCTGTCAGATTTCCTGTTTCACAATGATTCAATCTCAGTGATTCAGTCTCAGGAATTTGTCTGCTTCTTCTAGGTTATCAAATTTGTTGGTGTATAGTTGTTCATAAAATCTTGATCTTAATGATTCTTTGTGTTTCTCTGGTGTTAGTTGAAATGTCTCCCTTTTCATGTCTGATTTTATTTGCTTGAGTCTTTTTTTTTTTTTTTTTTTTGCAGTACTGGGGCTTGAACTCAAGGCCTATATCTTGAGCGACTCCACCAGCCCTGTATTTTTGTGTGTTAGGTATTTTTGAGATAGGGTTCCCCAGGCTGTCTTGGAACCACGATCCTCCTGATCTCTGCCTCCTGAGTAGCTAGGATTATAGGCGTGAGCCACTGGCACCAGGCTAATTTTATCTTTTTAAAGAGCCAGCTCTTCCTTTTTTGTTGGTCTTTTGTATTTTTTATGTCTATTTCACTTATTTCTGTTTTGGTCTTTATTATTTCTTTCTACTAATTTTGGGTTTGTTTCTTGTCTTTCTAGTTCCTTAAAATGCAGTGATAGGTTGTTTATTTGAGATCTTGCTGTGTGTTTTGACATGGGTATCAGTTGCAGTAAAATTCCCTCCTAGTACTGCTTCCGTGTCCCAAAGGTTCTGGTGTGTTAGCATGTCCAGTATCATGAGTTGCAAGAGAAGTTTCAGTTCCCTGCCTGATCTCCTCCACTGATTCCTTGTTGGTCCACTGATTGTTCATGTGTAAGGTGTTTAATTTCTGTGTATAGCTTCAAAGTCCATTTGGTATGGGGTGCAGTTTAATTGTGCTGTTTCTTTGTTGACTTTCTGTCTGGATCTGTCCATTGCTGAAAGTGGGAGGTTAAAGTCCCCTACTATTGTGCTAGAATCTCCCTCTTCCTTCACGTCTATTAATATTTGCTTTACATATTTGCCTGCTCTAATATTGCTTGTATATATATTTAGAATTGTTATTTCCTCTTGCTGACTTGACTCCTTTATCATTATATAATTACTTCCTATGTCTCTTTTGACTGCTTTTCATTTAAGTCTATTTTATCTGATATAAGTGCTATGTAATCCTGCTTCCTCTGGATTGCATTTACATGGACTGTCTTATTCTGTCCCTTCACTTTCATTCTGTAGGTGAAGTGAGTTTCTTGTAAGCAACATATGGTTGGGTTTCATTTTTCTCTTTAATCCAGTCACTTTTAATTGGAGAATTTAATCCGTTTACATTTCAGGCAATTATCAATAGATAAGGTCTCACTGGGACCGTTTTGTCACTTGCTTTCTAGGTTCATTGTAGTTCCCGTCCCAATCTTTTTTAATCTTTGTGGTTAAGTGACTTATCTAGTACTAGTGTAATTGATTCTTACTTTTGGTTTGTCTATTATAGTGAAGCTTACAGAAGCTCTCTTCTCATTGTAGCAAGCTTTTTTGAAAGATAGAAACTTTGTATGGCCCATCCCCCTTGGCTGTCTTCTACTGCCCATCCTGGTGCCCCACCACTGCACCCCTCCTCCCACTCCTTTCCCTTCTCAGAACCATTGTCTTCCAAGAAAAACAACTGTCTTTTTCCACAGGAACCAATGACAAGCCAGGGGGCCCTCACTACATCCTGCGCTGGACGTCACCCCAGGTCATCAAAGAGACCCACCAGCCCCTAGGAGACTGGCGCTACTCATACATGCAGTGATTCCTGCTCGGCCAGTCCACTGTCCACCTGTCTGTCCATCCAGAGGGTTGACCCCACTGCACCCCTGCCTACCCCTCCACTTGCTCCTTATGGACAGCCCCCTTCTGGAGCCAAGCCACACCTCCCCTCCCCGCCATTGACCTGTGGTCTTGTTTGATCAGGTCATGCTGGGCCGCTACACTGTCTCCCATCAGCCACCCTGGAAATCCCACCTGCTGGGTATGACCCTGGAGTCCAGCAGGTTTTCCACCTGTCTGCTTCCCTAGGGAATGGAGAGGGGGCAGGTCTAGGGACCATGTGGGGAAAGCAGGCATCTCTGGCCCCTTGGCACTCTTGCCACTCACAGAGGCTCCTCCAGGTATCCAGAGTGAGGTGTGAACCTGAGTGGCTGCAGGGCACAAGTGGCACTAGCTAGCCTTGCCCTCTGAGGTCTGGGCTGCCCACTGCTACTTTTGTCTAGATCTGCCTGAGCCAGTGGGCACCTGGTCCCATCCGGCCTTAGACCCATGTGCCTTCCTGCAGAGTGCCTGTGTTCCCCTGAGGCCATGCCATTCCTAGCCACTTGCTGAGGTGTGGCGTGTGGCAGTCCTTCCACAGCTGTGATTCTGCAAAACCTTGAGGAACTCCATGTCGTGGGACTGTTCCTGAGTTCTTCTGGTCCTTCCTCTGCAGGTGCCACTCCCAGAGCCCATCTCAGGGCCTCAGTTCTGCCCAGTCATCAACACCTAGCCTGGGGTCCCCTCCAGCCTGGGATGTGGTCTGTAGAATTGCCCCTCCCCAGTATGGAAGGGCTCTGAGTGTCCTGGGCCCCCCAGTTGCTTACTCTTCGTCAGATGCAGCTAGTCCAGTAGTGGCTAGGGGCAAACTCCTTCTGACTGGGTTCTGGTGGCCAGGGATTGCTAAGATGTGACTTTCTGGGAGAAGAGTGCTGGGGCTCTCCCTCAAGGACAGCCCCACAGAGCCCCCATGGAGCAGGTGTGGCCAGCCCCTCATGCCCGTTTCTCACCATGGCCCATGGTTGGGCAGGTGCTGCCTGGGCCAGTGTGGGTTCTAGGATCTGAGTCGTCTCCTGTGGGGGCCAGGGGCGGTGGCTGGGGTGCAGGCTGGAGGTGTGCTTGGTACTACTGGTTCTACACTGTGAGGTGGCAGTGGGGTGCACCCAGTGCCACCAAATAAAATGCCTGTTACCTAATCACAGCCACTGGTGGCCTTTCAGGGGGTGGGTGGCTTTTCCTTTCAAGGCTGATGGTATTGCCAGAGTGCTGGGAGGTGGTGGCATAGGGCCCTCAGCAGGATGGGAAGGGTGGGCCCTGATGTTGGGGAGTGCCTGCTGGAGGTAGCAGGAGCTCTGGAGCACGATGGGTCCAAATCCTGCCTCACTGCCTCCCAGCCAGGTGATTTCCAAAAAGTTGTGCAGCCTCTCTGACCTCTGTCTCATTGTCTACAATATAAGGCTAACTCCTTCACATAATGCATACACACTGGCCATGATACTTGAGTGAGTTAATTCATGCAATTTTAGAATAGAACCAGATTAAAAATGTTACCCTTGTAATAACTCACATACTGTGATGGTTCATTTTATGTGAAGTTTGGCTGAATCTCAGTATCCAGATATTTGGTCAAACATTCTGGATGGTTCTGTTGAAGGTGCTTTTTGGATGAGAAGAACGTATAAGTCAGTGGATTTAAGTAACAAGTAACATAACGTGAGTGGGCCTTGTCCAATCAGCTGAAGGCCTGAATAGAACAAAGAATAAGCTCCCTTAGGAAGCAACTTTTGTTTTTTGAGACAGGATCATGCTATGTAGTCCTAGGATTACAGGTGTGCACCACCATGTTTGGAGAGGCAGGAAGGAATTCTAGCAAGTGCCCTTTGGTGTAAACTGCAGCTCTTCCTGGTTAACAGCCTGCTGGCTTGCTAGACAAGTTTTGGACAGGTAAGCCCCACAGTCATGTAAGCCAATTCCTTAATAATCTATGGCTAACCGGGTGTGGTGGGTCACACCTGTAATCTCAGTTGCTTGGGAGGCAGAAGCAGGAGGATCTCAAGTTGGAGGCCAATCCAAGCAAAGCTAGTGAAACTATCTCAAAATGCAAACAAAAGGACTTGGGGTGTGGCTGAAGTGGTAGAGCATTTGCCTAGCACGCACGAGGCCCTGGATTCTATCTCCAGTATGAAAAGAAAAATCTGTGTCTTTTTTCCTCTCTCTCTCTGTCTACACACACACACACACACATATATAAACACACACACACACACACGTTTTTTAATGCATCCCATTGTTTTCCTGGAACACCCGTGCCAAGAACTCTGTATGTCTCCTCACACAGAACAGCTTCACAAGTCAGCACTGCCATGTTTCCATTTTGCAGATGAGGAAACTGAGGCGCAGAGGGCTTAAGATACTTCCCAAGGGTGTGGTGTTGCTGGGATGTAAACCAGGTCTTTCCTGCACCCTGCTGTCCACATCTGGCACTAAACCACCTTGGGGAGACCTTCTCGGCTGGTCCCATGATGACTTGGAAAGGAGTGACGGTGGCCGGTTAGCCTGAGCTGACTGCGGGTCCAACCAAGCCTTTGCCAGCCAGCTGACTTATGGAGGGGAAAGTGTATCCTGGTGTCTTCACCATACACAACCATGTCTGTCCATCAGGACAGTTGGGGGAGGCAGGTGGAGACTGCTCTTTGGCAGAGCCCCTCTCCCTAGCTCCATCATAGCTGCCACTGATTCATGCAAGAAGGAACGAGGCCCCTGCACAACTCTGCTGTGCCCAGGGACAGAGCAGAAGCCAGAGTGCCCAGCTGGAGCTCACAGAAGAAAGGGTGGCATTTTATAGTTGAGGGACGTGGAGACTGTTAATGTCTGTGAATGAATGGTGTGACTTGCTTAAGGTCACACCAAGACCGTAGCAGAACTGGCTATGATAGCCTCCTTCCCCCCCTCCCCTGGCCAGTGCTGGGGATTGAACCCATGGCCTTGGACACATTAAGCAAACTAGACAAAATCAGCCACTGAGCTACACCCCCAGCCCTCATGTAGCCTTAGCAGTGACTGTACCAGGTCAGTAGCAGGGCTAATTAGGAGGTCGGGAGAATGGATAGCCCAAGGTCACAGCCCTACCTACAGTCATCTGGTAGGAAGGTAGGTCTGAATCTGGGTGCCTGCAGTCTAGTCTCCTTTGCTAACTGTCCCATCAGGTCCCCAGCCTCCAAGCTCCTCAGCTACTGTCAAATAACCACCGCCTTACTTAGACACCTTTGCTTCCCTTTTAACTAGGGCAAAGAGTCACTCAAAGCTGTCACTCTCTGCCCTCTGCCCACATCCTACCCCACCCCCCCCCCAAGATTTGAGGCTGGTGGCTCCTGGCCCAGTGCCTGATACTTTGCATGGTCATCACGGTAAGTCCCCATGTCTGCGGTAGCCCAAGGAGCCCCTTCATTTCCCTGCTGTGGCCAGGGGCCCAGCCATGGCCCTGAACTGGAGTGCGGACCATTTGACTGCGGCCGGACGTCCCTGCTGCCACTGTCCCACAGCTGCCAGCCAAGCGTGTACTCTAAGGAAATGAAGGGCCACCTGTGCTGGCTCCTGGCTACCAGGCAATCCGGAACTTCAGTGGAAATTGGGGGCAGAGGACGTGGCAGGGTACAGCCTCACCCTCTATACAGTCATAGCTTCATTTTCATTGAGTCATTCACTCATCCATTCATTCATCATTGTCATTCCTGTGTGTCTGCAGAGGCCAGGCTAGCCTTGAATGCAGGCTGCATGGCTGGTACTGTGGTAAGTATTCGAGAGACCCTGGCCTCACCCCCTATAGTGGCCCTATGAAACACGCTCTGTGACTCCCATTTTACAGATGAGGAAACTGAGGCACTGACAGGTTAAACTAGTACACAAGGAGGAAATGACCTGCCTGGGTTTCAGTGGCTATCACCACGGAACAGCCCCCAGAACCAGGCAGACCTGTGCAGAATCCCAGCCAGGACCCCTCTTCTCTACCTAACCCTACCAGCTTGGATTTGACATTTCTTTGGGAATTGGGGATCCAGTGAATTATTTCAAAGCGAAGTGCTGGGGCCCCGGGCCTGGGACCGCCAGAGTGAGAAGTTCAATAATGGAGTTCTTGTCACTGTGACTTCCAACCTCAGCACATGGTCCTGCATGTGTGTTCCAGGTAGGTGGGGACCCAGGTTTGACTGAGTACCTGTTTGTAGGCTCTGTGCCCCTACTAACTATCTTGAACCACACCAGTCTGCAAGAGGGTACGTGTTCTTTTAGCCTCATTCACCCATGTTTCATGGCATAGACTTGTCCCCCTCCCTCCAGGAGCTCTCTGCTGGCTGGCATCTTCTGCCACCTTGCCCCATCTCGATGATGGCACAGAACTGTCCTGACATACCTTTGATTGACTTAATTAGAGCCCCGAGGAAATCAAACTTTCTGAACTTGGGTGACTGCTCTCCTCTGGACTTCAGTTTCCCTCTCTGCAGGCTGGGTGTGTTTGTGGACCTTCAGCAGCCTCTCAGTTCTGGCACAATATGTCACAGTGGGGACCTTCTGGCCTGCCTGGCACTCGCCAGGGCCCTGATTGTCTCTCCAGACCGTACCCCATGTCCTCCATGTGTTCTGGCTCTTGTGCCATGCCCAGTGGGCTTCACCAGTGCCCATAAATGCACTAATGGCTTTCCCAGTCATTCTGGCTCTCAACCCCCACCCTAGACCCTGAGAGTCAGGCAACACCCAGGCAGGGCTCTGGGTTAATTCAGATTCTGTCTCTCTCTCTTTCCCCATGCTTACCCCCTCTTCCCCTGGCATCCTTCTGCTCCCTCTTCACAACTCACAGGTATTGTCGTCGTGCCTCCTGAGGCACTGCCAGGAACTGACCCTTTCCCAACAATTGGGCCTTGAGATGGAACCTGCGTGGGGGAGGACAGCATGTCCCTCACCCATGGCCAGAGGAGCAGTGACAGCTCCTGCAGGCAGGACACACCAAGGTCATGCAGCACAAAGGTGGGCAGTGAGGTTACGTTTTGCCTTTAACTTCTGCTGGCTGTGTGTCTCTGGTAAGTCATTTAACCTCTCTGAGTCTAGTCTCCTCATCTTTAAACTGGGAGTCAGTGTGGTACTTTGCAGGGTGGCTGTGAGAACCAACGATATAATGCATTTAATGCACTGTAGAAAGGGAGCTATTTGTCGTTGGTACAGCTCCTTTGGAGCCCCCTTATGTGCTGGTGACTATTATCTTGCTAGATCACCACCCCAGGAAGTTCCTGCAGGAAGCCCCATCCAAGGAGGCCTGAGTGGCTGTGGTTTGGGGCTCACAAAGCAGGAGAAAGTGGGCTGGTGGGACAGGGAGAGCCGGATGAGGGAGCTGAGTCAGGTTGCAGAAACCTGAATCCAGGACAAGGAGCTCACCCTTGGTCTTGGTCTTGCAGGCAGCGGGAGAGTAGGATGGTCAGGGCCCAGAGCTGTTCCTCTGGGGCTTCAGCAGTCAGTGTGGGGCCAACAGAGAGGTCAGGAAGGAGGTGGCATGAGTCTGAGTTGGGGTGTGCCAGATAGGGGGCAGAGGTCTGGAGAGAAGCCAGGGGGCAGAGATGGGTTGATGTGAGGGCTTTTGGCTAACTGATAGGCAGGTAAGGGGGGTGATGCAGTGCAAAGAGGGCCTCCCCATTGTACAGAGAGGGACACTGAGGCCCAGAGAAGGAATATCAGGTCAGGAACCCACCTCTCAAACACCACATGTAGGGCTCTTCCTTTTGTTTTATGGGGTCTTCCCCTACCCCAGCTGGCTTACAAAGACTCAGAGAGGGGCAGGGACAGGCCTGAGGTCACCCAGCAAATCCTGTCTTCCAAGGAGGCCTCTCCTTGTTGTTTTTAAATGTCTGCAGGATGACCCTGCCCCAAAAGGGGTCAGGGCAAAGGGAGGTACACCCCTAACTCTGGAGCTGCTGAAGACATCTGGCACCCCCAGGGTAACTTTGAGGTACTTTGGGGCACAGGGAGGTACTTTCTGCCAGGCAGGGAGGTGGAGATGCCACTGTGGAAGTTCACTTTATTACAAAAAGGGACAATCTTGAACTTGGCAAGCTCACCGTTCTCTTGGGCCTCCTCTGCACCCTACTATTCTTTTTAATTCCCACACCATTCCTATCAGACTGGAGTTATTAACCTTATTTCTGTGGAGGGGAAACAGGCTCAGAGAGGTGAAATCAAGTACCAATGGTCACACAGCAAGAAAACTGCTGTGAAATAAAGGTAGGTTAGAGCTAGGTGCCTCTAGGTTCCTCCAGACACATATCAGGAGGAACTAGCCACAATGCAAGGCTAGACACAGGTGCCAGTGCCAGTGCAGGCAAAAGGGTCCAGGCAGGTCCCCTGGAAGGTTGGGCACGGGTGGTGTCTTGGAAGGGAGGAGCTCAGAGGGACCTTGAAGGAGCAGAGGACTTGCCAGGGTGTGGGGTGTGGGGGGGACTCTTGGGGCTTCAGTCACCTCTTTGTACTTGGAGCCTCCTCTGAGGGCCTGCAGACTTGCTCAAATGATGCTGGAGGCAGAGCTGTTGAAGCTGGGGCTCAGGTCCCTTGAGACTCCTGTTGGGCCACGTGTTGTTAGAGTTGGAAAGGGACAGAGCGGTGTTCTGGGGACAAAGGTCTCTGATCCACTGGGTCCCTAATTCATGGAGATGTCATTCTCCCTCCAACTCATCAGTGGCCACCTTTGAATTCAAAACTTGGCAACTTTTTCTGTTTTGCTCATACCTCTGTCTCTTGGCATAGAGTCAGGGGGACTCATATCAGGGCAGACAGATGTGGGCTTGACAGGTGGCATTGGTGAGATGGAGCCAGGTCCCTCCCCAACTACTGCCCCATTCTTATAGCCGCTGTTGCACTGGCGGCTCACTCCTGTAATCCTAGCTACTCAGAAGGCAGAGATCAGGAGGATCGAGGTTTGAAGCCAGCCCCGGACAAATAGTTCTGGAGACCCTATCTCGGAAAAAAAAATCATAAAAAAGGGCTGGTGGAGTGGCTCAAGATCTAGGCCCTGAGTTCAAACCCCAGTATCACACAAAAAGAAAGAGAAAGAAAAGCAATAACCCTGTGACATCCCATGGTGTGGTATTAAGCCATTCGCCATGTAGTCGGACTATGTGGTTTCAGTGCCTGCCCTGCTAACTGTGCCACCCAGGGTGAGTTTCTTAACTTCTCAGGGCCTCAGTTTCCTCATCTGTGAAATGGGGTTAGTAATAGTCTCAGATATTGGGAGACTTGAAGGAGACGATGGGTGGCGAGCCCTTGGGCGATGCCTGATCCTCGCTGAGAGTAGCTAGTGCTTTTTGAATAACCGCTGGGCCAGCTGCCATATGTATCTTACCACGTGCAGGGCCCAACTTGGTCAGGCCCTAAAGTTTGGGGGGGGGGGATCTTTTTGCCACATGGCTTTGCCTCTGGCAGCGCCTATGCCACTTGTGAAATGTTAAACATCAGGTGGTGAAACCTGTTCCCAACCAAGTGGCAGAAGACTGGTGTGGCTGGACGTTCTCTCCCCTCTGATCACCAGGCCTCACTGGGCCCTTGGAATGGAGCATCCTGGTTCCGGCCTTCTTTCCTGCCCCCAGAGCTCTCCACCTGTCTGGGGCACCCCACGGTCTGGGGCAGGCCCATCACTATGTAAATGTCTGTGCAAATGGCCTAGTGTCCACCCGCCAGTTCTTCAGTGAGGCGGAGCACCTCCCAACACTGTCACTTCGCATCCATGGGGCTCTGGGCAAGGATGCTCTGCTCACTGCTGTTCCTGCTGCAGGTCCTGGCAGAGCCAGCAGAGAACTCCAACTTCCACCTGGCTGGGGACTACCTTCTGGGTGGCCTCTTCTCCCTCCATGCCAACGTGAAGGGCACTGTCCACCTCAACATCCTGCAGGTGCCAAAGTGCAAGGAGTGAGTCTCTGCATGAGGCTGGAAGTGGTGGTGGGCCTAGAGTGGGGAGACAGGGTTGACCCTGGGTTCTCAGGATGCCAGGCGAGGACCAGGAACCAGAACACTCCTCACCCATTGTCTATCCCCGCTCCATCCTGGTTCCCTGCTCCCCAGGGAGGTCCCACCCAGTCCATGTGACTGAGATCTTCAGTGATTGTGTTTCACAACACTGAGACCTGGGGCGTCCCAATGTCATGTCTTCCTGTAAACAATTACAGGATGTTTGCGCTTTGAGGGGCCTTAAAGACCATCAAACCCATCCTCACCCACTTTGGCAACTGGGCAGAACCCCAATGAGTCTGTGTCAAGGCCAGGTTTAATCTCCAGGTGCGGTGCCTTTGGGAAGGCAGAATGCAGTTTTGTGTAGCAAGTTCTCAAACCAGCAGGAGAACATTGTATTTTCCAAGGGCTATAGTTGGGTGGGTAGGGGGTGCTTCCAGGACTGGAGGGGACTCCCTCTCCTATCTCCTCCTTCATGAGCCCCTTGGGATGACAGTGTCACTTGGAGATTGGGTGGACCATGTTCTTTTAGTCATGAAGTCTGGGACCTTGTATGTAGTCTGGAATTATAAAATAGTTACCGGTTACTGTGTTCAGAGAAGGTGGGACATTCTAGAGATAGGGAGGAAGGAAGGAAGGAAGGAGAGAGGAAAAGATGACTAAGGGGTGACTCCCCCATGATGTTGGAAGAATGACATGTTGCCTTGAGAATGGTGAGGATGGTGGTGCCAACGGTGGTGTTGGATTTTTTGATAATGACAGACTGGCTGATGAAGGTGATGCTTGTGGTGGGAATGGTGGTGGTGATGCTGAGTGGTACTGCTGATACAGAAGTTAGTGGTGACACAGTGGTAATGGTGGTGGTGTCAGTGACGTTGGTGATGGTGATAGTGGAGGTGATGGCAGTGACGGTGATGGTGGTGGAGGCAGCAGTGATGTTGGTAGTGGTAGTGGCAACAGTGGTGATGGTGGTGGTGATGTTGGCAGTGATGGTGGTGGTGATGTGGTGGTGGCAATGGTGATGAAGCAGTGGTGACACTGGTAATAGTTGTAGAGGGAGATGATGGTGACAAGGGGGATGGTGGTGATGGAAGTCATGTAGGCATTGGTGGTCACAGGTGGACATAAATAGAGATCATAGGGATGGCAGTGCTGGTGGCCTCAGGGGTCATAGTGTCAGTGGTGGTCACAAGGACAATGGTGACCCTAGTGATACGGTCTGGTGACAAGGATGTGGTAAAATGCCAGTCTTCTGGAGTGGGTGTCCTGTAGCAGGGAGGAGGGCCGTGGTCTCTCCTCTCCCCTCCTCACTCTGGACCTGCTTTTCCTCGTGCCTTGGCCCAGGTACGACATGAAGGTGCTGGGTTACAACCTCATGCAGGCCATGCGTTTTGCGGTGGAGGAGATCAACGCCCACAGCAGCCTGCTGCCCGGGGTGCTGCTGGGGTACGAGATCGTGGACATCTGCTACCTCTCCAACAATGTCCAGCCTGTGCTCTACTTCCTGGCACAGAAGGACTACTCCCTGCCCATCCTCAAGGACTACAGCCACTATGTGCCCCACGTGGTGGCTGTTATTGGCCCTGACAACTCTGAGTCCACCATAACCGTGGCCAACTTCCTCTCCCTTTTTCTCCTTCCACAGGTGAGGCCCCTGGGTCCTAGGAGAAAGGGCTGGGGGTGGGGTATACCAGTGGTTATCCAGAGGGCGCCCTTCCTCTCCTCTGTGAGATGCTTGTGAGGAAATGGGCAGGGGCACCTCAGGCTTTGGAGGTGAACAGACCTAGGGGTACATCTGGGCCCTGCGTCTGGGCCGCTGCAGTCTTTGTCAAATCTTTTAGCACTTCTGTGCTTCATTTTCCCCATGTGTAAAGTGGGATGGAAGAGCTCCATCTCAGGACTAGCAGCAGATTGACACATTCAACCTGTTGGAGTTTCCAGCACACAGTAGGTAGTCAATACTGTTACCGTGTAGAGCATCTCACACAGGAATGAAAACTCGGAAAGTGCTCAATGTTATCCTGTTCAGTTACAGGATCTGCCTCATAGTAGGTCCTCATAAAAGCACTGTTAGTATGGCTACCATGGTCATCATCACCAGTGAGCGTTTCTAGTCCAAGTGGGCACAGAGTATTCATTAAAGAGCAGCTTGCATAAGACTCTACTGAGGGTGGCTATCGTTACTATGTAGAGCACCCAGTGCAGACTCTGACTCATAGTAGGTGACCAACACATGCTAATATTTTTATGTAACACATCTAGCCCCAGATTGAATTCGCCCTTTTGTTCATATAACAATTGCTTGAATACCTCCTGTGTGCCAGGGAGTATTATAGATGCTGGGGATACAGCTGGAAACCAAACACAAGTCATTGCTAGTAGGTTGAGGCATGCAGGAAGTGTAAATAAATAAGTGATGCAGAATGCTAGAGACGTGCCATTGAAGTGTCAAGCAGGGAGGGGGACAGGCATGTTGGGGACAGGAGATTAAGACAGGTAGAGGGAGAATGTAAATTTGCTCAGAATGGTTGGATGGGCTCAGTGACAACCAGACAAAGACTTGATGACTGGGGGGAGGAGGGAGGGGGGGAGGAGAATATTCCAGGAAGAAGTGTTAGCAATTGCAAAGACCTGGTGTCATTCCAGAACTGGGTGAGCAGAACCAGGGCCAGGGGATGCGTAGGAGAGGAAACCAGAGAGTAAGGGGCTGTGTATGTGTTGGAGCCCCGGGGGGCCATTGAAGGACTCTGGCTTTTCCTGGGTGACAATAGGAGCTGTCAGAGGATTCTGAGAAGAGGAGTAAGGGGATTTGACATGCATGTGGGTAGGGTCAAGTTAGCTGACACCCACGTAAAGGGTAGACCATGGGGGAGAGGAGACAATGCCCAGCCCAGATTCAGGCCAGAGACTGGAGAAGGGGAGGTGGCAGGTGCTGGACAGACTCATTCTGAAGGTAGATCCCAAAGGATTTGCTGAGGGGTGAATGTGATATGTCTTAGACAGAAGGGTCAAGGATGATGGCCAAGTTTTTGACCTGAGTACTGGAAAGGATATATTCACTATCAACAGGGATTGGAAGGTTGTGGACGGAATAGGTTCAGCAGAAAGCCTGAGTTTTGGAGATGTGAGGTGGGCAATTACAACTCTGAGCCTGAAGTTGAAGAGAGAGTCTGGGCTGGGGCGAGATACAGACTTGTTGGCCTGGAAATGCTATTCAAAGCAGAAAGCTGGTTGGTATCACCAAGGGAAGGAGGGGAGAAGAAACAAGGCTGGGAGACGGGTTCTTCAAGACTACAAGGTCATAGTGAAGAGAAGGAAGCAGGAGAGGAGACAGAGCAATCATTAATCTAGGAGGAAAGGCAAGGCAAGAGGTGGAGTCCAGGAGGCTGAGGGAAGACATGAGACTGGTTGAGGGGCCCAATGGCGAGGAAGGTCACACTACAGGTGCTCAATAAATAGGGTGTGGAACACCCCCTATCGGCTAGCCTAGGGCCCAGCACGTAGGAGGGTGTTCCATGTTACTGCGGGATGTAAATGATAACGGTGGTGTGAACACGTAGCCTGGGTGTGGTTCATGCTATGTGTCCTCCAAATGTCACCAGAGTGGTGATGGCAGGTAGAGTCTCCTTTCCTGTCCTCCCCACCAGAAGGGCACTCAGTGCATCCCTCCCTAATGCCAGCCGCCTCTCCCCTCTGGCAGATCACATACAGCGCCATCTCCGACCAGCTCCGGGACAAGCAGCGCTTCCCCGCCATGCTGCGCACGGTGCCCAGTGGCAGCCACCACATCGAGGCCATGGTGCAGCTGATGATCCACTTCCGCTGGAACTGGATCGTCGTGCTGGTGAGCAACGACGAGTACGGCCGTGACAACAGCCAGCTACTCAACCAGCGCTTGCTCAGTGGAGGCGACATCTGCATCGCCTTCCAGGAGGTGCTGCCCACGCCGGCGCCCAACCAGATCATGACGCCGACGGAGCAGGCGCAGCTGGAGGCCATCCTGCGCAAGCTGCAGCAGACCACGGCGCGCGTGGTGATCGTGTTCTCGCCCGAACTGGCCCTGCGTAACTTCTTCCTCACCGTGCTGCGCTGGAACCTCACCAACACCGTGTGGATCGCGTCCGAGTCCTGGTCCATCGACCCGGTCCTGCACAACCTCACCGAGCTGCGCCACACGGGCACCTTCCTCGGCATCACCATCCAGAGAGTGCCCATGCCTGGCTTCAGCGAGTTCCGTGTACGCGGCACTCGGGACAGCCCGCCGCCATCCAGTGGGACCAGCCAGCAGACCACCTGCAACCAGGAGTGCGACGCCTGCTTGAACATCACCGCGTCCTTCAACAACATCCTCACGCTCTCCGGAGAGCGCGTGGTATACAGCGTGTACTCGGCAGTCTACGCCGTGGCCCACGCTCTGCACAGCCTCCTGGGCTGCAACCAGACCAACTGCGCCAAGAAGGTGGTCTACCCCTGGCGGGTGAGAGCCCACGGCGCAGGCGCAGACTCTGCGGTTGCCATGGAGACCACAGGGCTCCGCCTGGCGCGCAGCTTCAGGTTGCCCCTCCCTTGGGGGGTGGCGGTTCTAGGCAAAAAGGTGTGAGATGCCAGGGCGCAGCCCCTGCCTCCAGGTGCATAGAACCAGAAGTCCTTCCTGGTGCTTAAACCAAATTCTTTTAAAAATTAATCATCCAGGGTAGTCTGCCCTTGGAGATCAGGTGGAATTCACTGGAAGGAAGTCCCTGGGACAGGGAGGACACGGTTTCCCAACCCCCAGCCGCTCCAGGTTGAGGGCCTGGCAGTTTCCCGGGCTCCCTGAGGCCCTGATGGGTGTGTGATCTTCTCATTGTCCCGTTTGTTCTGTGTCACCTTGATTCTGACCTAGAATTTCAATCCGTGTTTTTCTGATTTCATGCACACACATTGCCACGAAGCCTGCAGAGCTGTAGGTTTGACTGAGGGGAGCTCAAGCACTCACATTACAGATGGATATTTTATACTTTGCTGCCGTACATCTCTGTTGTTAAGGTTTTTTTGGTGGTACTAGGATTTGAACTCAGGACCTCACCCTTGCCAGGCAGGTGCCCTGGCACTTGAACCACTCCACCAGCCCTTTTTGTGTTGGTTATTTTTGAGATGGGGTCTTGCCTCATGCCCGGCCCATCTTGGGTGGTGATCTTTCTATTTGTGATTCCCAGCATAGCCGGGATGACAGGAGCAAGCCACCATGCCCAGGGCATAGGTTGAGATGGGCTCAATGTACTTTTTGCCCTGGCCTCAAATGGATTCTCCCTGTTTCTGCCTCCCAAGTAGATGAACTTACAGGCTTGAGTCGCCACACCTGTCCGGTTATCTCTTTAAAACATTCTCTCTGGGTGGGATGTAGCTCAGTAGCAGAGTGCTTGCCTAGCGTGTCCAAGGCTCTGGGTTTGAGTCCCAGCAGGGAAAAAAAAAACCTCATTCTATTTTAATTGCACCTTCCATCCCATAATCTCAATGCTGAATCTTGCACCCTTACACACTCATCACCTTCAAAAGGAGCTCTGGTGCCAAGCAGTAAAGTTGGTAGCTTCTCGTGAAGTTTATGTCCTGACACATCGCTGACACATATAATCATCACAAGCACATTGCTGCTTGCTGAGTGACTACCAGGTACATTGCCCAAGTGCCTCACATCTAGCTCACAGCCACCCTGTGGGGTTGATCTTCTACAGATTGGAAGACTGAGGCATGGGGAGTGAAAATGCCTTGTCTTGCTGACTCAGTGGTGAGTGGCAACCTTGGCTTTGAAGTCGGTCTGCTGTGGCTTCTCCCATCATCTTCCCGGTGTTCTCCCATCCAAGACCAGCAGGAGCTGCGGTGAAGGGCCAGTTGACTTCCTTCTTCCCCAGACAGTAGAGATCAAGGGCAGCAAGTATAGCAGTCAGGATATCCAGTCCCATTTATGGAGCACCTGTGGTGTGCCAGGTCCTGGGGACCCCCACCTAGGAGGAGGGGAGGACAGTGCAGCAGGGAGCCAGAATTGCTGCTGTGCATAGAGGTGGGGCAGGGGTCTCACTGAGGGAGTGGGGAAAGCAGCACAGTCTAGGAGGAGAGTGGAGAGTGATGACCTGGAGCGAGGTCAGCTGGTGTGGTAGAGCAAGGGGACAAAGGGGACTGTAGGTGGCAGCGGAGGGTGTCAAGGGCCAGATGAAGGAGTTGGCACTTTGTCCTGGAGGCCCACAGAAAGTTCCAAGCTGAGCCCTGAGCTGATGTTTGAGACAATCCAATAAGCCAGTTTGGGGTTGCATTGGAAGGTGCAGCCCAGACCGTCCTGTATAGGCTTCACGCAGGGTCTCCACTGGCCTAACGGTGTCCTGTGTGAGTCGGGAAGCCATGTTCTTTTGTATGGACACATTAGACCAAGATCCCCTTTCCCTGGGTGACACACAGGCCTGCCTGAGCACATGATTTGGTGAGCTGAGCCAGTTGAACCATCCCTACCGCCCTACAAGGACCCACCCGAGCAGAGTGCAACCTCCAAGACCGCCTGTAGCACCCTTACTCCCCAAGGCCCCTGTGCTGAGCCAAACCACAACACTCTGGTCATTTTTGTCCTAGCAGTTATCCTGTAGTTACTGAATGTATTTGCTTTTTTGTTTATTGTCTACTTCCCTTCCCACCCCACCCTGCACATCTCAGTCCTGGTCAGTGCTGTATCCAGACTGCTGTTCTGGGTGGAGTTGATGCTCAGTGACTATTTAATGAGTGAACCCATGAGTTAATCAAGGAGTGATGCTTCCATGTGCCCGGCCCTGTCATGCCCCTTCCATGACACCCCTGACAAGACACTGTGACTGTACTGTTCTCTCACATACAGGTGAAATGGGTCACCCATCTAGAGAGTGACAGGGGACAGGGCAGTGGAGATGGGCACTTGTGAGAGGCCAGGCAGCAGGCCCTGGGGGTGCAGAGGGATCTTAGGATGGAGCTTGGTGTGAGTGCAGCTAGTGGGTGACAGCGCCTGCTCGCCATCCTCACTTGCTTGTCTCTGCACCCTTCTCTCCATCCCTTGACATCTCAGATATGGCCCATGTGTCCACCTGTGGGAGGCTGATGGTGATGAGCTAGCAGAGCTTTGTAATCAGAACAGACAGTGTTCAAATCCCAGCTCTGCCATTGCTAGCTGTGCAAACTTGAGCAAGTTACTTACTATCTCTGTTAAGTAGAAGGAATGGTAGGAGCCCTGAACAGTTATTAAAAAGCATAACAACGATGTATGCAAGCTTCCTGGTGCAGGAGGAGTGTCTCTCCTCCTCCTCCTCCTCCTTCATTTCTGACAAGTGCCTTTCCTCCAGAGGGAGGGTGGGGCTGGAGAGGTGACTTGGGTCTGCCTTAGATACTTATGGCCAATGTTGGGGTGGCAGGACTAGGTAAGAAGGAGAAACAGGGTTAAGATCTAACAGGGGAGCCCCAGGATACCTGGGTCCCCACCCACTCAGGAGAATCACAGAGACCATACTTTCTGGCCCCTTGGCAGTGGGAGCCCAGGTCACTCAGCTGTACATGGCCAGGTTATTGCAGGAGTGTGACAGGGGATACTCATGACCTGCTGCCCAGGTCTCTACATCCTGCTCCCCATCCTTAGGCCGACCACCTGGGTGGAGCCCCCTTCCTCTCATGCTTGAATCTAGCAACCTGTGAAAATCCCAGAGAGGCCTCCAGAGCCCCATCCTCACCCCCTGAACTGGGAGTGGAGAAGGCTAGGGCCCAACTCCTTGACTATCTGTCTCTCTTTCAGTCCCCCAGGTGAGGTAAGCTCTGGGTACCTATCATATAGCCTGGTAGACTCTCCTATTTATGGAGGGAAAGTTAGAAGGCAGATTGATGGGGTATCAGAGCTGGAAACCTTTTGGGGATCAGCCCAGAGAGGTTCAGTGACTTACCCAAAGTCACACAGCCAACTGAAGACAGAACAAGGACTGGAATTCAGACAAGACAATGCCTACTTCTGAGGGGCCAAGGAGGGCAGGGCCCTTCTTATGAAGGGAACTTGGAGATTCCTCAGCAATCACGTGGTCTGCTTAGTACAAGTTTCTGGGTGAGGGGGCGAGGAGACACTGGCAAGAGAAGAGAGCTAACTCTAAAGTGTGGGGAGGCAGGACAGACCCAGAGAGCAGGGGCAATCTGGTTGGCCTTTGCAGAGGGACATGGGCTGTGGGCCCTGCGGAATGACCGTAGTGACTTCTGGGAAACAGCCCTTCAGGAGGAGACAGGTACTTCTCAGGTGCTGTTCTAAGTTCCTTCCATAGGTCAGCCCATTTATGGCTCCAGAGCCCAGAAGATAGGGTTGATAGCTCTCACTTTGCAGAAGAGGAAACAGGTTCAGAGAGGTTAAGCAACAGATCCAAGGTCTCACAGCAAGAGGCAGAGGTGAGGTCTAGACCCAAATGCATCTATTCTAGAGCCAGTGCTCTTATTCCTTGGCTCTGAACAGCTGCTCTCTGAAGACTTACTGAGTGGAAACTGAGGCTAGTGAGGTGACAGACTCCTATGTCTGGTTCCAGCTCTGATGCCAGCTCCCTTTCCCTTCCTTCTGACCCCTCCAGCTACTCCAGGAGATCTGGAAGGTCAACTTTACCCTCCTGGGCAACCAGATCTTCTTCGATGAGCAAGGGGACGTGCCTGTGCGCTTGGACATCATCCAGTGGCGATGGGACTTAAGCCAGAATCCGTTCCAGAGTTTTGCCTCTTATCACCCCATGCAGCGGGAGCTGAAGCACATTGGCAACGTCTCCTGGCACACTCCAGACAACACGGTCAGTTCGGAGGGGCGGGCAGAGGGCAGCTCCCTTCTCCAGAAGGGCACTTGGGGGTTTCTCAGCAATTGCTGGTGGGGTCTCCGCTTGGGGTGCAGAGTCTGGGGTCCTGCACGTCCCTGTTGATTGAGAACTGTGGAGTTTAGGGTCCTCCAGCTCCTGAGGGCAAGTAGCCCTGTACCAAATTTGCATGTAGCCGGCCGCATGCTAAGAACCTCAATTTCCTTATCAGCTCTAGGAGTTTGAGGCTACCATTCTCCTTATTTTATAGATCAGGACACTAAAGGCACAGAGAGGTTGTGTGACCTGCCTAAGTCCACACAGCTTGTTGGTGGTGAAGGTTCTCTAGATCCAGCCCTCTGGCTTGCAGCCTGACTTTGCATACTTGTGTCTCGACTGTGCCTGACACCTGTCAATCTGAAGGTTTTTGTCAATAGACCATCAAGAACTCTTGCAGGAGTGGGGCAGGATAGGGAGCAGCCTGGTGGAGTGAAAAAGGGCTCTAGGGATCTAAAAGCATCTTCATCTCTCTCCTATGACATCCTGTGCTCCTGTCCCTACCCAATGCCTTCTCCCCAGGGTACCTTGAGCTAGTTCTGGGCTTCTTGGGGATCTTGGGGACTCAATTCCAGTGGGGCTTTAATTCATTTCCTTGGGCTGCAGTAACTAAGAGGCACAAGCAGACTGAACCCCTAGATGTTTATTCTTACTGTCCTGGAGGCGGAAGTCTGAGATGGAGGTGGGGGTGGGACTGGATCCTACTGAGGTCGAGAACCGGCTCCTGTTTCTCTCCCGGTGTCTGGTGGCTCCTCTGCCGCCTTGGCTTGTCGAGGCTTCACCCTGATCCCTGACTTCACCTCACCTGAAGTTCTTCCAAAGTACAAGTGTCCCCTCTGCAGAAGGGCACCAGTCACATCTAGATCATTGTACCCCCAGTATGACCTCATTTTAACTAATTACCTCTGTAATGACTCTGTTTCCAAAAAAGGTCACACACTGAGGTCCTGGGAATTAGGACTTTGAGGCACACAGTTCAGCCTATAACAGTGTCTTAGCCGGGTGTCCCCAGAGAGCAGAGCCTGAGACAAGGTTATGTGCAATAGATCACCTGGACATGCTGCCGGGTGATGGGAGCGTCCAACAGAGAAGGGGGATAGTCATTCTGAGGGAGTGTCCTTTTTGGATGTTGCTGTGAGCAGCTAGACCTCAAGCTCACCAAGATCCCCCAAAGAGTTCCCTTAGAACTGTCTGCCAAGGGAGATAACAGGGCAGCGTTGATCTGCTGGCTTCTGCCCCCTCATGGCCAAGGGCGTCACTCCCTTGTATTTCCAGTCCCCACCTGGGTGAGCGTTGCCGCTTCCCCTGGGCGTCTCCTACTGCAGCCCCAGAACTGAGGCGAGGTACTGACGGGTGACAGCTGTAAAAAAATATTGGTGCAATGGCAGGGAAAATAGGTGGGAGGACACCAAGATGTCCCCTCCTCGTTCCACTCAGTGTGTTCATGTCCTCTGTTGAGGCTGGTGGGTGACAGAGTTTTTAGAGTAGCAGCCAGCCCAGCCTCTACAAAAGGGGCTCAGTGACAGGCCTATGGTTGTAATGGCAGTTGCCATCTGTCCTTTCTTCCCTCCCTTCCTGCTCTTTCCCTCTGTCAGCATTTGGGTCACTGGCTTAGGGTGATGGAGACTGTCATCCCCGGGGCACCTGAGCCCTAGTTGCCTTGTCCTTGTGGCTGTCCCTGCTGGGCCTCTGCACGGGCATTACGGCCGGGCCGTGGAGAGGCTCCTGGGCTTCACGCGCCCCTCCTGCCCCACTTCTCATGGGAACCCAGGCCAAATGCCTCTCCTTCCTCGGCCTTCTCATGCACTGGTGTGAGGAACCCAGAGTGACCAGTGATGACCACAGAGCCCTATCGTGTTTGCTGGTGGAAGTGTGCGCCCCTCCCTGTGGGAATCTCACCTCCATGGGGAGGAGAATGGGGACTGTGGCCAATCTTTCACACCTTGAGGTTGCTGGACCACGTGTTCCAGTTGTTAGAACCCCTGACCTGCACATTCAGTGCGTGTGTCTCATCCCCAAGGGCAGTGTCCCCATCCCACAGTGTCATCCCTGAGGTGGTACCTTGGCTGAGCCTTTGGTATGCCACCCCATCATTTTATGAGGCTGCATGCTTCCGGATGCATTAGCGTCAGTGGGTCCTGGGGCTGTGTCACACCTCCATCACCATGGAATGGGCCTCTTATCTGCAGTTATATGGGATCGTGCATGAGTCCTTTGGTCTGTAAGCACATGGGAAGTAGTGCTGTGCTGTGAGCAGGGAAGGCAAAGCACTGCTTCCTGTGACCAGAAAAGGGTCAGATGCAGGGAACATGGGGAACAGTGGGGGCCAGCTACTCTCCCGGCTGCTCGGCACTGGTTTCATGGCTGGGAGGCTAGGTGTCTGGCAATGGCAGTAGCCAGAATGACGATGGTGAAAGAAAGCCCAGGTCTTTGGGTCCATGCTTTCAGCCTCCATTCCTGCCCCATAGCCACTCTGTGCAAGCCCTGGGGTGGCTGAGGACAGAGGCCAACCAGCCTCTGCTGGGCCAGCCACTCTGTCTATCTGGACACCTTATGTAAGTGGAATCATACAGTATTTGTCTTTTTGTGAAGAAGGAATGCTGTGTTTTATTTCCATTAATCTTCAGATATTTTCTAATTTCCCTTGTGAATATTTCTTTGACCTATTGCTATTTAGGAGTGTGGAGTTTAATTTCCACATATTTGCAAATTTCCCAAATTTCCTTCTGTTATTGATCTCTAATTTCATTACCTTGTGGTTGGAGAACATGCTGGCATGAATTCGATCCTTTTACATTTGGTAAAACTTGTTTCATGGCTTGCCTCAGCGTTTATCCTGGAGAATGCTCCATGTGCACTCAAGAGGGTGTATGTTGTGCTGTGCTGGGTAGAGTGTGGTGTAGGCATCAGTTGGGTTTGGTTGGTTTATAGTGGTGTTCAAGTCTTCTATTGGGTATCAAAGTTTTCACCTATTGTTGACTAGTACATATTGTCTATTCCCCCTTCAATTCTGATTTTTTTTTTTGCCTTATGTATTTTGGGGCTCTCATGTTAGGGGCATATATGCTTATTATTATTATATCTTCTTGATAAAATGATCATTTATCATCACAAATAGTCTCCTTTTCCATTTTTGTTGGTATTTTCTTCCCTTTGGCTTCTTTTGAGATTTTATCTTTGTCTTTACTATTTAAAGTTTGAGTATATTAACAGGTGTAGGTATGGTTTACTTTGTATTTATCCTGCTTTGTTATCTTTGAGTTTAATCTGTGCTTTGGTTATTAATTTTGGAGAATTCTCAGCTATTGTTGCTCCAAATATTTCTTCTGTTCCTTTCTCTCTTCTTCTGGTATTCCCATTAAGTACATATCATACTTTTTATAATTGTCCCATAGTTCTTGGGTATTCTGTTATTTTTCCCACTTTTTTCCTGTTTTTTGGGAGTGTTCAATTTCTGTGGACATTTCTTTAAGCTCAAAAATCCATTACTCAGCCATGTCCAGTCTACTGATGAGTCCATCAAAGGCATTTTAAAAAATTTCTGTGATATATTTATTTCTGTTTATTTTTAATTTCTAGCATTACCTTTAGATTCTTCCTTAGGATTTCAGTTTTCTACTTAAATTACTTATCTTCTTCTTATTATTTTTTTTTTTTGCATTTTGTCCACTTTTTCAATTATAGCCCTTAGCAAATGAAATTATTTAAAAATATCTGTCAAATCTGAGTCAGTTCTGATGTTTGCATTTTTCTTCAAATGTACTGTTTCTGGCAGCATTAGGGTTTGAACTCAGAGCCTCATACTTGCTAGGCAGGTGCTCTACCACCTGAACCACTCCGCCAGTCCTGTTTTGTGAAGGGTTTATTCAAGATAGAGTCTCTTGAACTATTTGTCTGGGCTGGCTTCAAACTGTGATCCTCCTGATCTCTGCGTCCTGAGTAGCTGGGACTACAGGTGTGAGCCACCAGCACCTGGCTCAAATGTGTTTTTCTGACATTTAGCATGCTTTGTAATTTTTTGTTGGAAGCCATACATGATGTAGGGGTAAACAAAATTGAGGTAAATAAACTTTTAGTATGAAGTTTTATGCTTATCTGGATAGGAGTTGGGCTCTGTTTACTATTTTTTGTAGCTGTGACATCAGAGTTTGAAATTCCCTCAGTGTCCTTTTCTTGGTCTTTCTTAATGTGCTTTTACCAGAGGAAGGTGGAGTAGGTCTTGGTCAGGCAAAACTGAGGGTCCCCAAGAAGGTCCAGTTTTAGTGGCAGTTCTAGCAGCCCTCCCCCTCCCAGGCAGAGACCAGGCTGGCCTCCCCTGAGTGTACGGCTACTGGGGTGCGTAGAGATCCCCAGAGGGTGGGAGAGGGGGCTCAGGGATTCTTGCCCTCCGCCCTGCAGATCCCTGTGTCCATGTGTTCTAAAAACTGCCGACCTGGGCAAATGAAGAGGCCCGTGGGCCTCCACCCCTGCTGCTTTGAGTGCTTGGACTGCATGCCTGGCACCTTCCTCAACCAATCAGCAGGTAAGACTCATGCCCCTTGCTGCGCGCCTACCTGGCCAGCCCTCCCCCACCCAGCCTGCAGATGCAGCGCTGGCCATACCTTTTCTCCATCGTCCCCTCCCTTCCCCTCCCCTTCCCCTTCCCCCTCTGCCCCATTCCCCTGAACCTGCAGGGGTAGTGTGCTGGCCACACCCCTGCTTTATCCCTGGGCTCTCCAGGGGGCTCCTCTCCTTTGACAAGGTCTCTGGCCTCTCCCCAGGGGATGTAAGTGCCCAAAGGCCAGGGGCCAGGTCTGATTCCTCTGTAGCCCCCCAGTACCTACCTGTGTGGCACAAATCCTCCAGCCCAGGCTGGCTCAGGAAGAAGGGACTCCAGTCCCTCAGGGAGAAGGGACTCCAGTCCCCCAGGGCAGGACTCGCCCTGATGCCCGCCATAAGCACACAGCCACAGGAATCTAGTGTCAGGCCTGAGAGTGTCCACTGATGATCAGTGAAGGAACAAATGGCTCTCCCAGCAGGACGGACTGGCCGCCAGAGACAGTCTCTGATGGCTAGTGAGCATGGTTGCTCACTGTGGGGGTGGAGGGGGTGAGGGTGAAATGATTTCTTGATTGAAAGAAATACCGGCTCTCCTGATACAACATAGACTCCTGAAAAATGGAGACAATGTCATGTTCGTATCCACGTTAATCTTCAGTACAGTTCAGAGTCTCAAATTGTTTTTTTCTTGTGCCTTCATTGATTACTAAATGAAGTGGGTGGGTTCATCTCCCGAGGAGCGCTCTCATGCCTGGCAGAGCACAGGCATGCCGTATGGGCTGAACAAATTTCTTGAACGCATTTTTTCTGGTCTTCCTCTCACAGTCAGTAGCCTGCAGGCAGGGGCTGTGTTGTACACATCTGTCTCTCCACGGTCTTGGGAGCCTACCATAGTAGACGGTGCTCATTGATGAATTTCTTGCAGAAGTGGTTCATTGTCTCTTGCAGCAGAGGGTGGTGTCTTGGAGAGGTGGAGGAGTTACAGTTAGTAGGCTCCAAGACAAGAAGACCTGGGTTCAAATTCTGCCTTTAAAACTCTCTGGCTTTGTGACTTTGGGCAAATTACTTAACTTGGCTGAGACTCAGTTTCCTATTCTGGGAAATAGGGTTGCAGGGAGGATGTGGCAAGGTTCGGCCGTGAGCTTAGTTCCTGTAGCCCCTCCCTGGTCCAGGGCCAGGCTCAGAGGACGCAGGCACGCAGAGGGTGTGTTGAGCTAAGGGGAATCTGTGGCTTTTGCAGATGAATTTGACTGCCAGCCCTGTCCTAGTGCCTCATGGTCACACAAGAACGCCATCTCTTGCTTCAAGCGGCACCTGGCCTTCCTCGAATGGCAGGAGGTGCCCACGATCATCGTGGTCATTCTGGCTGTCCTAGGCTTCCTTAGCACACTGACCATCCTGGTCATATTCTGGAGGCACTACCAGACGCCCATGGTCCGCTCGGCAGGGGGTCCCATGTGTTTCTTGATGCTCACACCACTGCTGCTGGTGTTCGGGATGGTGCCGGTGTACGTGGGGCCACCCACGGTCTTCACCTGTATCTGCCGCCAGGCCTTCTTCACCCTCTGCTTCACCATCTGTATCTCCTGCATAGCTGTGCGCTCCTTCCAGATCGTCTACATCTTCAAGATGGCCAGGCGCCTCCCGCGTGCCTATGGCTTCTGGGTCCGCTACCATGGCCCCTATGTCTTTGTGGCACTCATGACGGCCATTAAGGCAGCCATCATAGCTGGTAACATGCTGACCACCACCATCAACCCCATTGGCCGTACTGACCCTGAAGACCCCAACATCTTGATTCTCTCCTGTCACCCCAATTACCGCAACGGGCTGCTGTTCAACACCAGCATGGACCTGCTTCTCTCCATGGTGGGCTTCAGCTTCGCCTACATGGGCAAGGAGCTGCCCACCAACTACAACGAAGCCAAGTTCATCACCCTCAGCATGACCTTCTCCTTCACCTCATCCATCTCGCTCTGCACCTTCATGTCTGTCCATGACGGAGTGCTGGTCACCATCATGGACCTCTTGGTCACTGTGCTTAACTTCCTGGCCATCAGCCTGGGGTACTTCGGCCCCAAATGCTATATGATCCTTTTCTGCCCAGAGCGCAACACACCAGCCTACTTTAACAGCATGATCCAGGGCTACACCATGAGGAAGGACTAGCACCGCCCACCAGCCTGGGGGACAGAGGTCTCGGTGTTATGAGATGAGGGACAGGGATGACCCCACTGCATTCTGGTCCCCCATATGGTATTCTTCTGAGGTCTCTGCAGCCGGTCCATTTTTACCCATTTTTACTTAGTGATGGTTGCCTACAAATAGCCACACTTTCTTCCTCTCCCTTGAGCTGTTTTGCTTGCCAGGCACTGCTACTGCCTTCTGAAAGAAGACACCCAAGGTGACCTAGTGGTCTCCAAAGACAGTCTGATTTAGTAGCCTACAGCCGCCATCTGGTGGCCATAGTGGGCACCTGCAGGTTTAGGCTACTTTCTGAATTTTTAAGGTGGAGGAAGCCACACTGGCGTTTGGGCCAGGGCTGGTGTATGAGCTCCAGCCATGCTGTCCTGCAGCTGTCATTTCTGTGTCCTGTTTGCTGATTCTGGAAGAGCTCAGACTGGGATTCTGTGTTCTCGCTAAGTGATGGCTGGGCATAGGGGTGTTTCATAAATGCTCATGAATAAACCTCACTTGGGTGAAATGAATGACCTTCTTTCTTGCTTTCAGAGGTCCCCTGAGAAAGACACATGGACTCAGGCTTTGGGTTCGACCCCAGCATTGCCTCTTCCAGGCTGTGTGACCTGGAGCCAGTTATGTCCCCACTTCTCTTCCTCTGACATTGGAACGATGGTCATTTCACAAATACTGGCATTTGAGACTGAAGATAATGTGGTAGAATGCACACAATAGGTGCTCAGTAAATGTCACCCATGGCAAATCTGTGTCCCTGCAACCATCGGACAATATAAGGCTGTGCTTTTGTTCCTCATGCCCAGCCATGGCTTCTGCCTCTGGGAAATCAGTCTCCCACAAATCCTTCCACAGGCCTCCCGCCCTGCAAGCTCTGGTGCAGCCTTGGGGTCCCCTGGGTCTCAGGGATGCTTCAGAGCCAGTGCGCTGTGGCCTGGTCCCCTCTGCACTGTGCACCTTGGAGAAGCCACACTGCTGGGCATGGCTCTACCCAAGGTGACCCACCCCCTATGGTGGGCTCCAATGGCAGGGGGACCCTGACCTCCCTGTGTCCAGGGGTCAGACCTGGCCCTTCGCAGTTCACCAGGGAGCCAGGGCTCCAGTACTGAGGCTTCCATACAGCCGTCCAGAGAAGTCGAGCGAGGAACTTAGTTGCTTCCAGCTCGCAGGCCAGGCAGTGGGTGTCTGAGTCTCCACAGTCCAGCAGAGAGACAGGGGACACGGGGGCCTCCTCAGAACTCTTCTGGGAGTGATTCATGGTTTGTCCAGAAGTGACCGTATCAGGGACAACTTCCATAAGCTGAGTGTCTGATGGGAAAGCAGGGCTGCCTCTGCCTGGTCCTCAGTTTACTTCTTTAACACTCAAGGTGGTGAGTGGTGGGACCTTGGATGACTCCCTGGCCACTTCTCCATAAGGGCAGGGGTTTCCCTTCCCAAGCCTCATTCTGGAGGCTGGCATGGAGCAGGTGCTCTACGAGTGCTAAGTTACTGTGGACTCCCTGCTGTCCTCCACCACCCATTTCTTCAAGCCATGGCAGTGTTAATTCAGGGATCTATTAGAGCTGGGTGTAATAGAGGTATTCAGAAATACAAAACAGATCAGCTGTGCCCCAATATCCACAGGGGATGGATCCTAGGAGCCCCCACAGATACCCAAATCTGAGGGTGCGCAAGTGCTCCATGTGAAATGGCAAAGTACTTCCCTGTGACCTGGGCACTTCATCCCATAAACTGAACTCTTCTCCAGACTTCTTAGAACATCTCAGACAGTGCAAGTACTGTGTGAACAGTTGTCACGCTATGTCGTTTAGGGATGCAATTTAAAATAGATATGCATTTGCTTTGTGGGTGGTCGAATCTGTGAACTTGGAGCCCATGGATACAGATGGCTCTGTACTTGTCCTTCGAGTCGCGCTATCCCATGGGCCATGGCAAGGACAACAGGTAACATATGATGCCAGGCCCCCGAGGGCCTCACCGCCCTACCAGGGATTCTCCACAAAGCTCTCTCAGTTGGGACTGTCAGGATCCCTACTGTACAGAGGGTGGGGAAGGAGACTCCCAGAGGTCATGGAGAGAACCCAGGGTCACATAGCTTGTCTAATCCCCAGCCCCCGCCCGCAGCTGGAACCACTATCCTCCATGGAGTAAATCCAGATGGCCTGGCCTAGAAAGCTGCTTTGGGGGAACCAAAATGCATGATGGGAAGACTCAGTCTCCCCAGGTGAGGGACCGTGCTGTGGTTGGGGACTCATGCTTTCGGGAGCCTGCTGGTGGGTGCAGTGACAAGGGAAGACGTCGGGAACTGGCATTTGGAAGCCTGGGCAGTGTCCAGAGAAGCGGTGCCTGAGGGTAGCCTGACTGTGAGAACACAAGTGTAAGGACAACTGAGACCAGAGCTGGGGGCTGGCCCCAGGCAGCTGGACCTCTTCCTCCCTGGGTGACCATTGTCAGTGTGTCCTGGGCACATGTGGTTGGGCCCTCTGCTGGGTCACCTGAGACCCCATTCTGGTCCTCACTTACTGTGTCCAGGTTCTTCCCACAGTCTTCAATATTGGTCTAGAGGAGGGGACTGGAATCTGCCAGGGGGATCCCATATTACACAGGGGTCTCCACAGAAGCAGAGCCAATAGGGTATATCTGGGCACACGTGGGTGTTTGGTAGAATGGATCACCCCATCAGAGGAGGGAGAGTCCCGCAATGGTTGTCCACAGGCTGGAGAGCAGGAAAACTGTTAGCTAGCTGCTCAGCCCAAGAGGCTGGAGCCTGAGGGACCAGTGATGCAGCCCTAGTCCAAGGTCCAGAAGTCCCCTGGAGAGTCACTGGTGCAAGTTTGAAGTCACACCTTCAAAGATAGAAGAATCTGGTGTCCAATGTCCAGGGGCAACAGAAGCAGTAAAAAACTCAAGAAAGGAGAAGGGAAGCCAGGCACGGTAACTCAAGCCTGTGACTGGGAGGATTGCAGTTTGAGGTCAGTCTGGGCAAAAAGTTAAGGAGACCCCATCTCAATCCATACGCCAGGTGTGGTGGGTCATGTCTGTCATCCCAGCTATGCAGGGAAGCATAAATAGGAAGATCGTGGTCCAGGTTGGCCTGGGCAAAAAGAGAGACCCCATCTCTAAAATAACCAGAGCAGAAAGGGCTGGAGGTGAGACTTCAGCGATAGAACACCTACCTAGCAAGTAGTGAAACCTTGAGTGCCTCCCCCCACAAAAAACAAAAAAGAAAGGGGGAGGGGAAAAACGAGGGAGGGGAATAAAAAATAACAGAGGGTGAAAATGATCGAAGTACATTACACGCTTGTGTAGAAGTGTCCTGATGAACACTCTTCCTATGTACGATTTAAGAGATGCCAACAGTAAGACAAGAAAGGTCGCCTGTATGTGTGCTAGCACTCCCTCTTTCTCCTTTTTCATTATCTGGGTCCCCATGGTGCTGCCCAAATTCGGGGTGCTTGCTGGCTCACCCGCCAATCAAGGCCCTCAGAAACACCTGGAAGCATGCTTTACCAATTTTATTGGCGCCTCTCAAAGAATCAGGTTGACGACCCAAATCAACCATCACAGACCCCAAAGACAGACTGCAGGCTCTCTCGGGAACACCCCTTCTCTGTCTCCTCCACTGACTTCCTGAGGGACCTGGGGCCTTGGCAGAGGCCTGGTCTGGCCATGAGCTTTTGGGGTTCAGCCTTGTACGGTCTGGTCCTGGACGTGGCTGTGTCCTGTTCTCCTGGCCCTCGGGACCAGATTGTCAGAGCTCAGCAAATTTTAATCTCTTAATTCGCTTTCACTGCATGCTTCCTACGCCTTGGTTTAATTTTTTGAAAGAGAGCTAATGGCCTCATTTCTTGATTCTGCCTTGTGGGCCACCATTAGAGGAGAGAATCCGGGAGTCTCAGTGACCTCAGAGGACGGCTGTCCACACCTCCTTCTACAGCCATTGGGACAGCTGGTAACTTGACCCTTTCCTGCTCCAGATTGCCTTCCAAGGGGCACCTGCTGGGGCCACATCTGCAGAGCGCCAGTGCCGGTGGGGGGGTTCCAGTGACTTCCGTGGACTGGGCTGATGACTCTCAGCACCCCTTCCCTCCCATGCTACCTCAGCCCCAGTTCTCAGAGACTAAACTGGGTGGTTTGGAACTCAGTGTGCTGGGAGGGACCCGAGACCCTTGTGACCTTGTCCTCGTCTATAGTGATTGGCTCGAGGGTGAGCACATGACCTTGGTCGGGCCAGTCAAAGGGACTCTCAAGACTTGTGCTGGACCATAGACCCAGGAAAGGGAGGTAGTGGCAGTTTTCAGGGTGGATCAGAGCCATAAGGCACCCTATCACGTCTGTGGCCTCACTGTGGGCCCTCTTTCCCTCCTATACCCCTGTGCAGCCATGCTGACCTACTCACCACCCCCCAAATGCCATTTTTATGCCTCAGGGCCTTTGAACTGGCTGCATTCGCTTCTTGGAATGCTCTTTCCAGAGAATCACATGGTTTGTTCTCTCATTTATTTTCCCTTCCTGCTTAACCGTTCTCCTTAACACTTACTGCTGTCTAGCACACATCTATTTTGCTTCGTTGGCTTATTTACTTACTCAGGACACCTAAACTCCATGAGAACAGGGAGTTCTGTCAGTCTGGTACATGGAGGTATCAGGCATGTAGGAAAGTATCTGACCCAGAGGAGGTGCTGTCCTAGGAAGGATGACACAGGAATGGAGTGGATCATGGGGTCAGAACCAGCAGATCCAGCAGCTGGTCCAGAAGTCGGGAAGGTAATGGTTGGAGTGAGTGTGGTTCAGATCAGTCCTGGGAGAGGGTGTTGGGGATCAGCATTTACTTGCTCCCTCCCTCGTCTCTTCCCTCCTCCCTCCTCTGTGCCTTCATTCACTCAGCAAATGGTAATGAACAATACCCCTGTGGGGGACCAAGGGCACAGCCCCTGCACTTTTGTGGAGGACTCAAGCACCAGGTGGAGGAAGAG